GCCTCTGCCGCGAGGACCGGTTTTTCGACGGGTCAACCTCACTTTGAAAATGTCGGCCTGCATGCGGGATGGCGCTTTTCTCGTAACGACAGCGGCGGGGCTCGCACACAGTGTACTAAGTGAGGAACCCTATGGTAGTTTGGTTTCTTTGTAATAGTGGGATGAATTGGGACGATTGTCAAATTTTATTACTCTGGGGCAGGTTGAATTGAGAAAGTGGGACATCAAAGTAAGGATTCCGAAGAATGACACTCTGCCTTGTTTAGTGCACAGACATAATATGTAAAATGTGTAACTGGACCGGGTAGTCGTGAGAGCATGACCTACCCAGCCGGTGCATTTTGGATGCCATGTTTTTCTCATCTGGAGCGAGCCCTCGCGCGCATACGTTCCCAAAGAACTTCTCATTTCGACTGCTCCCGTTGGCGCTTGCACGTTTCATTCCATATTTTCCACATTCCATGCCTCTATGGAAATCTTTAAGTTGATTAGTTTCATACGTGCGCAAAGGGCCATTTCAAATCTCCAAAAGCATGGAATGGATACATTCGAAACTTGACTCAACTGGGGAGGTCGAAAAGGTATGAGGTGGGCCGAATACAGAGTGAATCCATTTTAACATGAAACCGGAGATTAGAGAGTAGGACCTCGGGCAATATACGCCATAGAGCATGCAGTCGACCCCAAAAGCACGGCTTGAAAAGGTGCTACGACGGCAGTGCCTCTTGCCGCCTCTCGGTTTAGAGTCGACCTCAGCTCAGAAGTAGATCTTCTCAACGATAGGCTCTGCCGGAATTCTGATAGTAGACACCTCGCGACTTTGACAGCAGGAAAACTTTGTCTCGACGAACACTTTCGTGACCCATGAGACGCACGATCGGATGCACAGGTCGACCGATGAGCAAAAACTACCGAATCGATTTCGACAAATGAGATACTGATCCTGCTCTGGGGGTGTGCTGGATAACGACTACTCACGTCCAACAGAAAGTGCCGAAAAGTACATTTATATACAAAACCTACCGACCAACAGAGCACAAATACTGCAAGGCAAGTTCCTACAAATCGAGTACCGAAAATACTTTTCCGGGGGTGTTTATGGGATTTAAAGTGCTGAGCTCCTCGAAATGAGAGTACTTCCAGGGAAGCACAAAAACAATCCAGACATACGAAGCATGCTTGGAACCATCTTATTACCCGAGTGTGCATTATAGGGGTAACTAACGCTAAACATGTACTGAAAATACTGAAAAATACTTGTGAATCTTGAAAAACGAATGGGAAGCCCCAGAGAAAAATACTGACCTGATTTCGATAAGCGAGTCACTGATGGACTCTGACCGGTGCTTCTTTTTACAAAATGTCAACAACGGTCTATATTTGCTGCCCAACCTAGTGTAAACCGAAAGTCCGGCAGAACGACAACTGCGTACTGCAAGCACCATAGTTCAAGGACGTGACGACATTAAAGAGTCGTAGTGGAAGCACGCCTTATTCCATATCCGTCACCGGCGAAACGTGAGGAGAAATGAAATCCAGGGCTTTTTGAGAGCGTACTCGCGCGTTAACCGGTCCATGGCACGCACCCACGGAGCTGAAATTGCTTAATTAGGTTCGTTCCGATTCAGACCACAGTGCTGCACCTTTTAGAGGCACCTACGACCGAAGGAATGCTCTAAGTATTGAATTTCATCTACGATGGTAAAATCCAGATTAAATGAAACAAAAACAGGTGGCCTCATTCCAACACGGTAGGCATCGATGGCCTCCGCGACTCTTGCGGTGTGTTTCGTATCGCGGGCTTGAAACGAAAATTCCACTTTCTTGGCATCAAGCTGCTGTGTGGTCGTGCAAGTACGTCACGTCCAGGGCATAATGTAAGAAAATATCAGAACTGAGCTAATGATAATATCCCTTCTGCAGGAGTGGTCGGTACTATGGCACTTCATTTATTCACCTAAAAAATTATGAAAATGTTACATATATATTTCCAAATTTTTGTTTCAAAATGTAATTCTTGCATAGTTTTGAATTTAGAACTGTGCAATTCTGAATCCCAATTCAGAACTACACATTACAATGTTACAACTGCACATTAAAATATGCCCTGGTCACGTCTAGGGTAATTGCTGCGAATCTCGGCAATTTGCAATCGTCAAAATTCTGCTTCCACTACTAGTCCCCTAGGCACGGGAAGATAAGTATTCCCAGATGGTAAGACTAATGTTGTTAACATGTGCTTGGAACAGCCATTTTTGCTGTTGTAGTTTTCTCGCAGTGGCTACTTTCTCTAGGCTCGCTCCGAAAATCCTGCAAAATCTTGTGATTTTGCTAAGCTTTTGCACATTCCGTTCTTCTCTTCCACACTAGGTATTGTTTTATCGGGTCGTTGCATTCATTTTTGAGTCCGTTGTAAACGACTGTGACACATAAGTGTGCCGAGATTCCCGACATCTGACCCATCTTCACCTTTGACTCAGGCCCTCGGAAAGGAAAGGCCTGGAGCACTCGAAGTTTGCGGTACAAGAAGGTTTATGATAAAGGTATCACCAGACCCAACATGAACGAAGAAGCTCCATTACGAAAACCAGCAAGCAAGGTGGAAGTGAAATATTTGCTTAGATTGCCGACATGCGCAGCACTCACCCTTCACGCATACGTCCGCGGTGAGCTGAAGGAAGTCTCGCGTTTTGAGCACGAGGGAAATTCCCATTCACGACTTCCTTCAATCGCTGATTCGGGAGACGAAGAGATGATAGCGACCACATCGCGACCGAAAGCGTTTCTCCTAGATATGACCACTAAGTAATATGAAAGGATGAATAGATTGGACTGGCCTTCGTGATGACCTCGTACTTGATGTTCTCCGTGCCAGCAATACGTGGCTTTCGTGTTTTCTCTCGTGGCATGCAGCTCCTCGAGCCCGACTTGAGATGGAAACATGAACCCATTCCTCTCTTAACCCTGTGCATTAGAGAGAAGCAGATAAAGAAGAGAGAAGCAGACAGACAGAGAGAGAGAGATGGATGACAGGATTTCTTTGTCGAAATCCTTTTCGATTCCGTCCGACTCCGGAGCGAACGAACGAGGATTTTCTGTCTCCCTCTGCGGCGATACCCACAATGTCTTCTCTCGTCAAGAAATCATACCGTCGACAGAACTCGGGACTAAATCGAGTGAAACGCTTGGAAATAGCTGCCGAAAAGCAGATAAGCTCTGACTTGCCCAGGCCCGGTCGATCCTAATAGAAATGGAAGTACCTCTCAAGAGGTACTTCGAATTTGGTTTCCCATACGGAAGCGGATTCCTACGGATGGAATCTACTACGCTGAACGCCTCATTTGATTTCATGAAAAGCGAACAAAGTTTTCAGATCATATTTTCGACATGAAAAGATCTAGAAGAGCAAATCTCTTTAGAAGTAGCAAAACTTGTTGGTTACGAAAAGAATCTTTGTCACGGAGTCTCCGGATGGATTCCGAAGGAAATGCAATTCGTATCGCTTTATTTCGATCGTAAATAAGGCAACAACAAAAAATTCACTCATGTAATATCGGTAAATTAAATTATTTTCTCGGAAGGTGAGTCGCGAGTTCGAATGGTGAGACTTCAATGGTACCTCTGCCAATGGGCACAGAATTGCCTTTTGCATTTTCCGCCACTATTTCAAATTGTTCATTCGTCATCGTGTCACTCGAACATATCGTTCATCACTTTTTTTTTTAGTTATTTAAGCGGAATTGTGTTATAAATCAATGGTGGTGAGAACTCGGGAATGCCAACACAGCTGTTGCGATCATTCAGTTTCTTGTGAAAGGAAACAAATGGAACTGCTGGCTCTGTTTCTTGTCGCCGACCTGCGTCACGAAAACTTAGGAGGAGGGGGAGGGGAGGGGGGGGAGGGGGGGGGAGGGGGAGGGGGGAGGGGACAAAGGCGGAAAGAGGGGGAGAGGAAAAAGCACGGCATACCGAATTCTTGTGCATGCTCACGCAAGGGATTCAGACTGGCCTCTGGGGCCAGGTGCGGAAAATGTTACGGGCTGCAGGAAACGGCCGGTAACAAGTACCGGCGAGAACCGAAGGGGGAACGTGTGAATTCGTAACAATAAAGGGGGTGAGGGAAAGAATAAAAAAGAGGATACCGAACTCAAGGATACGGGTGAGATGTGCAGCCGGGGTAATGGAGCGTTTGCCTTTCAAGGAGCCGACGAGGAGAGGAAAACGGGAGCACTGGAATATATATGGGATGTATTTTCGTTCGCTCGCTCTTTCTGTTCCTTCCATCTAATGAGAAGACGAGGAGGGGGAAGGGACGAAATGAAGGATGGAACATGTGTGTGTGCGTGCACGTGCACGTATACGTACGCGCCCAAGGATACACTTCATCCTTCAATGTCAGACGTCTCCCGACGACAACGACCTCATCCCCCCCGCGACGACCGTTAAGCACCGGAGCTACAGTCCGAAGAAGTTCGGTGAAAAAGCGTGAGGAAAGGCTATCACTCTTTGTGCACGGTTGTGAGAGATTCGGCGTTCGTCGATGCTCATTCGGTTGCACGGGCCCCGACGATGCCGAGACATCTGTAGTAGAGCTCTCACACCAGCAATCAACAGCTTATACGACGCTCCATGATATCCGAAAGCCTTTTCTGAATCCCTGGAAGAGAACGGGAAAGAGAAACAGGCACTCTTCCCGGCTTTGGAAAAGTCTGTCCCCGGGGAGCGAGGGAAGAAGATTGAGGAAGGAGAGATAGGTTAGAGGTCTTCATCTCGTTTGCACTCTGGGTCGTGATTGAAACGAAATGAAAAAGAATGAAGAAGAGGAGGAAGGACCTTTGCTTGCCCTTAGTGTCCGCCGATGTCCTTGTTCCTTCGGGCCAGCAGTGCAGGGTGGATCGATCCCCACCTCGAAAATCCCCCAGTCTTCCCCTCCCCCTAGGAGGCCTGCGCAGGATAATTTCTTCCCCCTCCTCCCTCTCTCGTTTCTCCTACTCGCTCTCGTCTAATACGAGGGCTGGAGGGGCATGAGCTTCCTTGTGCTTTTTGCTGTTTGCCGACCTGCCTGCCCTGACGGACCCATAGTCCTGCTCGGATATTCATCTCTGGTGGGTGACATTTAGGCCATGTTATCATCGGGCTCTTCCCCACGACTCGACAACTTTCACATTCACCCACATCATCTACCTCCATGACCCAGGTATGAAAATCATAATCGCTCTCCCCCGAGAGTCATTCCAATCAAATCTCGTCGGAACGAAAACCGTATTTTCTACAGCCCGCAAAGTCTACAGTCCACAGTTCTTGTCCGCAAAAAAGTTTTTTCTTTTAGGATGTGATTTTAATATTTGAGAAATAAATTATTTTCAAGCATGAAGGCTGATAACAGGCTTCTTAGTGATATGCTGTGCAACGTCATCAACGGAGTGGGATCTGGGCTTCCTAAGTCCTGAAAACCACATTTAACATCTTTCGTTATCACCTCTGTTCTCCGTGTTTTTTTTTTCTGCCAACAGAGAGCGAAGAGAAAACAAAGACTGGAACTCTCCCACGTCAAAATGGACGAGAAAGACGCTTCTTGGAATTCGAAAAAGTGACACTTGGACGGGAAAAGCTCATAAATATTCGAGTACAATCCCGCTAACGACGTCTCGGATGTCACTCGCTTTACTTGAGATGGACATTAGATTTGTCAGTTTTCTTCAGCGAGAGCTTCTAGAATTCGTGGGAAGCCATACTCGCAGTCTCCCCTCCGGATTGCATGGGATAGTTCTCTATATCTCTGGGTTTTTTTTTCGAGACGGCGGATATCCGTTCATCCGATAAAGGTCGCGCTCGCGATCGTCTGGGATCGATAGATACAGACCAGGCCAGGCAGGAGAATCGAATTTCCCCACTTCCCCCAATTTTATTTTCCCGGCATTGCATTTTATTTTCGTTTGAAATGCGGATATCCGTCAGAGAATCCTACTAATCTGACGCGAGATGGCTTCCATGAATCCTTCGTGCACTTCATCAGGCGCCGGTTCCAAATTACATCTGACGGGGGAACCGAGGCGTACCAGGCGTCGCCGAATCCTCCGGGACGAAACGGAGAATCGCGCTGGATCACGTTCCCAAAAAACCGAGGAAATGAGATTATGGAGATTAAAATCGTCGGATCGGAAGTGAGGCATTGAAAAACCTTAGCGCCCCGCCAAAAATCTTTCGCATTCCCACCTCACTTTCTCATTTCGTGGTCTCGATGCGAGTTTGCAGTAATTGCAAATTCGTGAACATCATAATCAGTTCAGAAAATAACTAGATCCTTTAATTATATGAACGATTTCAAAATAAAGAGCATGCGGAATATCGGGAACGGCAACGCAAGCAATCATGTGTTGTTCTGAGAATTATCACTTAATAAATTAGTCCCGGCGAAATTTCTCTACAGAACGTCACTCTTTGCGTTTCTCATAGTTCGACAGTATTTTTTTAAAAGGATTTTGCTCAATATTTGATTTCCAACAAGACGAAAATCTCAGCTTGGATGAATCCACTCGCGACTCGTTCGTGAAATTCCATTCCGTAGTTATTGTACTGCGTATATATGTATTTTGTGAGTTGTTTCGGACCGTCGAGTCCGGTAGAGTCCGAAGCGCGTTCATACCCAGAGAAGCAAGAATTTGTTGAACACTCGATCGCGTCTGGCGGGCGTCTGCACACCAAATCGGTCTAATCGCTATTCAGTCCGGTGAAAGCGTTTAGAATTCCAACAGCCTTGGACCGATGCGGTCTGGATATCATGAGTGGATGTAACATACGATAAGTGGATATGACATATCGCATGTTGAGCAACGTTTTCACGGAGCTAATGAAGACCAGGCTAGACTGAGCTGATTAAGGGTGCAAGGCGCTCTATGTCGTGATCAAAGCGGAAGTTTTCGCTCCAAGGCGCTCTGTATACATTAGTTTCGGAGCACCTCCTTTTTCAACGTTTGGCTAAACTTAAGAATACACCCTGGGATGAATTAAGGCCGTTCTTCCAAGTTGGAATAGCTCCTTTTGCTTCATGGAATCCTGAGAAATTTTCTATCATAAGTGTCCTTTCGGGTTTCAGGAATTGTTCAGTCGACGGTGCCTTTAAGGGGCACACCCGGGTGCTGATACAACTCGAGATTCCTAATCTATTTAAATGAATTACGTGCTTCACCGAAAATACTTTGGGTCGCTCCTTGCATCGGCAAGTTCTTCGCGATCCGTACGAGAACCACCGCCGGTGCGACGCCAGCTTTCACTCCATTTCAGTCCATCGATGCTTCACACTGTCGAAATCGGTATAGATTAGATCCGTTAGATCTAATCCATACCGCAAGCAGAGTACTTCCCATCAAAATCACCGCAGATTATCGATACCTGAATTTTTGCGTTAGACTGAACTCTTTCCGATCGCCAGAAGAACGAGAAGAAAAGAAGCAGATTCGTTCCCATGTATGCATTTTCAGATCTGCGAAAGTACTCGACGGTTACGGACGTAAATTGATAGATTCGGGGTTTCGGGAAGGAAAGAATGCAGGAAGGAAGAAATTAAGCATAAGTTTTACCAGTCTTTTAAGCTCCTGCGTTAGAATGAACGCAAGAAGAGATGATGTCGTGCCTTTTAGGAAGGATAATCGAATTAGGTGTTATAATTAAATTGTTTATCCAGGCTTCCAATATCTTCAAACTGCGACAAGATAACGTTATGGCGGAGCAGATTTCATTTACTGCCAACCGCGATTGCACTCGATGCACGCTCTCTTGCATATTTCCTATTCGAGTGGTCCCAATATTTTTCGGTTTTACTCAGTGCAAATTCACCTCGTCACCAACACACGGGGAAGAAGTAGGTGCGCGACCGAATCTGTTCTCGATCATCGAAAGCCTTGGAAAGGGGAGGATATCGGCTGGTTGATGGAATTCTTAACTTCGCGATGGAAAAGACGAAGACTGGAAAGGCAGTCCCCATCGCGTGTCGTATGATAAGAGACGAGAATATTGGAGAGAGAAGAATAGAGGAGCCATCTTCAGATATTCCAGATCGATTCATCCTTTATGCCGTGATGAGACTCGATATCTCATCCAATGCCATTCCCCAGGCATCTCACACGACATATGACATGTCTCTGAAGCTTTCTCCGCTCCCTTCTCTTTCCCAGGAACGAAGCTGAAAAAGACGAAAAAAAATCCGCCATCGAAGATGGCTTCCAGAGGATCTTGGAGTCTCCTGTGCTTTCTCGCAGCGATTGCGTTATGCCGAGGACCGTGTGCGGGCTACGTGCTCGAGGGAATGCACACGTCGTACGTGGAGTATCCTCGTTGGTACCCGGGACTCAACAATACTCTGGAATTGGAATTCAAGACGAGAGAGGCGAACGGACTTCTCTTGTACACGGACGACGGTGGTGGACGCGACTTCTTCGAACTGAAGATCGTGGAGGGTGTGGCTCGTCTCAGGTTTAACCTGGGCGGGAGTGTGCAATTTCTCACCGTCGGACGCGGTTTGGATGACGGAAATTGGCATCGGATCCAAATCGGTCGCGTCAACGAACTCACGCGACTGACGGTGGACTACGTCTCGGAAACGAGAGCCTCATCCGGTGCCGAATTTCTCTTCGGCTCCCTTCAAGATCAACGCGATCGACAGAACTCTCCCGTGTTCGTCGGGGGACTTCCTTTATCGTACAACACCCGATTGATTCAGTTGTCCCTTCCTAGCGTCATCTTTGAGCCGAGGTTTTCGGGAGAGATTCGGAACGTCGTATTCTCTTCTTTGGATGGACGACCTCGTCGACAGCCCATCGTCTCGTCCTCGGTATGCTTACAGATGGAGTTCGTGATCCCAATCTCAATGCCCCCCATCGGGGGCCCAAAGGCTGCCACCGATTCCCCCATCGGTTTTCTTCAACATCTATCGAGATCGGCTTAGAGGTGGTGTCGTTGGAGTGCTACAACGTGATCCCAAGCTCAATGCCCCCCCCCCCCGCCTCCCCTCTTGTCAGCACATGGTGAACTGAGGATGTGATATCCATTCCTTTTCGTCATGCAGGGAACCCGTGACGTGGGAAAAGATCCTTGCGAACAGGATCCAAACCCCTGCGACAAATCGAGAGGAGGACTTTGCATCACGACGGATGCAGGGACCACGTGCGAATGCAGGGCTACCGCCAGCGAGGGTGTCTTCTGTCAGTCAAGTTAGTACTCCTTACTTCTCTTGCTCTAGTTTTAATCGGGTTCGACAACTTTTGGTAGATCTGTTTTGCAAAAAGGAGAGATCGGTCATAATCTCGTCCCGCCCGTTCGTCCTTCCGTCCGCGCATCTTCACTTCCGTGTCGAACGATAGCTGAAATAATCTCCTCGATTGCTGCAAAACTTTGCACGCTGATACGTAAAAACAGCATGTGGCTCGAGTTCGTTTTCGGAGAAATTCGTGTCATAGAGCTTCTTAGCGAATTTAAAGTTTTAATTTTGCACATGCATGAAGATTAGGTGGTTGGACGAGAGGGAATGAATGCCTTTTCCCCTCCTTCCATTCCGACTTCCCGCCCTTCCTGTAGCACTCCAACGACACCACCTCTAAGCCGATCTCGATAGATGTTGAAGAAAACCGATGGGGGAATCGGTGGCAGCCTTTGGGCCCCCGATGGGCTGATGGGCGGCTATGATCTCACACATATCGGCTGGTGCATGTGCCGATGGCAGCAAATCGGGAGGAAGGGGAATGAGGAAGGCAGCAAATCGTTATTCAATATTATGCGCTATTACCGGGTGAGGCAAAAAAACCGCGCCGCTCTTTGAAAATGTGTGGCTCCTCTGAAACAGCAGCTAGAACAACGAGGTTTATTTCACACGCACCTCTATGTATCCTTCGAGCATCCGAAAATGTTTTCCCGTTTAACTCGACCCGTTTTAACACGCGAGTGATTTTACAAAAGCAGCTGAAATTTTATATTTGTACTCGCATCTGGACGCTAACGGGAGGACATGCCCCACTCACTAGGAATGACGATTCTTTTCAAGGTTTTTTCCTCAGCACTTCATTTCGTCGAGCAGATCTCTGACTCGTCCTTATATGAGTCGCTCCGTGAGTTTTTAGACTTGGGACTTTATTATAACGCGAGAAAAGGACTGGTTATATTTTTCCGAAGTTCTCCCCTTCAGTCTCTATGCCCTTCCTCATCCGTTCAAACCACTTCTGAAATGCCGCAGCGAAGTCTTCTTTAGGTATGGCCGAAATTGCTCCATCCAACGCGCACTCCAGCTGTTTTCATCGTCAGATCATCTCCCTTCGGCTTCTCTTTAATTTTTGGGAAGAGCCAAAAGTCGCAAACTCGCCGAACTCTCCAAATCTGGAGACGGATGGGGAAGGACAGAGATTCCAGCCTCTTGCAGGTACAGGTAGGTCACAGTAGCAGCGGCTGAGTGTGCAGGTGCATCGTCAAGGTGGAACTGGATGCCCCGGAGTCCGGTGTTTGGCCGCGGGTTGCAAAGCTCACGAAAGACTTCTGGAAGGCTCACAGTCGGTTATCACTTGACAGTGGAAGTGGCCGTGCAGTGTCTCCGAAGTTTCACGAGCCTCACCACTCCGGAGGAAAATAAAAAGATGGCGTACATCTTCTTCCACACACACTGGGAGCGTCGGTGCTCGACGGGTTGGGAGTCTCCTTGAGGAGCCACACCAGGCTTTGCCGCTTGATCAAGGGGTCGTACAAGTGGATCCATACTTCGTCGCCCGTGCAGATTTCGTTCACTTTACGGGAGGCCCTTCCCTCGAACCGATCGACACCAAGTGACAGAACTCCACTCTTGCATCTTCCTGGTCCTCTAGTTTGAGTATGGAGTACCAATCGTGCACATATCTTTCTGATACAAAGGTGCTCATGCAGGATACTTTGTACTTGCCCCGATCCGATGCCCAACCCTTTCTCTATTTCATTCATATAAGTCGAACGGGGATGTATTTGCACGAGCGAGCGCACCAGATCGATGCTTTTTGGTGTCACCGCTGTCGGAGGGCGCCCAGATCGGGGCTTCTCTTCGAAGCCATTTTACCCACACTCGAAGCGACGGTACCAGTTGAATACTGTTGCGCGTGAAGGGGCCTAATAATGCCCTTTGCAAACGTCGCATCAAGCATCAAGGCAAACGTCGCTTGACAAGCCTTTCTCCCAATTGTAAATAACGATGGAACGAGGGTGATGATGGGTCATTTCAGCCATAGGAAGAATCCCCGTTCACGAAATGTCGCTACCTGATGTTACTCAAAGTGCGGCTAAATTTCAACAGAGCTGGATGGAACTTGCACAAGTGGGCAAGAAGAATACCTTCTTAAGAAGTGCCTTCGAGGAATACATAGGTTTAAACTCATTTGCTTGTATTTTTAGGAGAAAAGCCTAATAACTTTCGGAGTGACCCACGTACGTTTGGCAATTTGCAGATGAAAATTTAGCATTCTAGGATTATCATCTCGAAATATAGTGACTTCTCCCGCGTGAGCGCAGTTTTCTTTAGTCCCGGCTAGTTTTAGACTTCTGCTACTTCTCTTCCTCTCAGATGAACCGGTTTTTCGCAGTTTGTGAATCAATCTCAGCACGATATGATGCCTAAATTTCTTTCATCATTTAACAGGAAATTCTAGCAAAATTCTGCTTTTCCCCATCCTTTCGCTAAGAGCAGCATTTTCATAAGCAGGCGGAGGAACTCTGACCCAAGATTGGTGCGCTCCACGCGTACCAACTACTCTTCCGCCGATACGCTTTATCGCACGATAATAAAATTCCAGTTGGCTTCGCGTTTTTTGCTCTTACGGCAAAACGGCTGGAGAAAAATGTACAAGAATTTAAACGTTTAAAGTAAGGCTGTACCGATGTATCGGCTAACGCCGGTATCGGCCGCCGGGGTTGCACTATCGGCACCATCGGCCATCGGCCTATGGCAAAGGTGCCGGTGCCCAAAGGACGGGCGAAGCGAAAAAAAAAATTAGATGAGGGTGTTCACGCGCCTCGGTGTCGGCCCTCATGTCTCACTTCGGCCACTCCTGCCAGCCCCTCCCAGGAAAAAATATCGATCGGATTATGTTACAGCAGCATTATAGGAACCAGCGGAGGAAAGTAGCGGTAAAGAACGGGAAATCATTGAATCTCCATTTACGTTATGCTTTTGCAAGGATGCGTCACTAAAGCAATGGGTAGCAAGCTAACCACGGACAGAAGCATTGAGAGACGGACAGGCTGGACAGAACCAAAAGCGATCTCTATCGTTTCAAGGAGGCCTACTGATAAGTATCACATTGGCTTCCAATTAGGCCTATTTGCATTTATAGGCGACTTCTTCTACAGACCACAATTGCCACTGGCACAGGCCGATGGTTATGTGGAAAAAATCGGCCATCGGCTCACCGGCCAAATTTTGCCACTGGTGCAGCCCTAGTTTAAAGAATACGTAGAATTCGTTGGCAAAAAAATGTTTATCCCGCTCTCTGCTATCTCATAAACATGAATCTCAAGAGCGGCGCGTTTGTCTTGCCTCATCTGGTGTTAACTTTTTTTTTGCGCCAGCTTAAAAGAGATCAATGGCCGCATCTTTGTACCGTGTCCTTTGCGAGGGGGGAGGCTGGAGACACCAGTTCTACTTTGAGAAAAGACAAGGAGGTCCAGCGCTGGGTCATGTTTGCAAGCACACGTGTTCTTTCCTTTTTCCTCCTTTTTTTTGCTGAGGAGGAGGGGGAGGGGGAGGGGGGGAAAGCGATGTTGGCATCGGCAGCGTGATAACCTGCTGATGGTCGATGGTACAGATCAGGGGTGTCTAACTCGATTAGGCTGGGGGCCGGATGGAAGCCTTCAAGGGTGATTAGGCCACAATAAAAACGTAAAACCTAATCTTTAATGCAAAGAGGCCGAAATTTGCAGTACTTTTCCGTAACCAACTGTTGAAGAGGAGGGCCAGACAAAATGGCCAGGGGTGTCAAACTTCGCCAGTTTGACCTCCCTGGTGTAAATGATCGGCGGCCTACTTAAAAAAAAAACTATAGTATAAATATTTAGTGATAAGCCTTTTTTTTTTTAGAGGTGTTCTAAAAGGGGTGCATCCGGTAGTCTCGTATCACCTACACTTCTGTCACATGATGTCAAGAGCTACACGGGAATGCATGTGAACCCTATTGGGCCGGGGGCTGGGATGAAATCGTGGTTTTCCAGGCGGTAAACGAACGAGAGAGCTACGTCTCCGGCATCCAGTCCTTTCCCGTTCCTCCCTTTACGCCCGAGCATGCAATTCACACGATCGGCTGGCTCTTTCATGCCGAGCTACGCTTAGTGACTGTCTCGATCTCGTTAGCGTTTCTCACCCTGGAGATAAAGTCAAGACTGTGCTACGTAAGGAGTGGTGGATTTGTAATGGTGTCTATTCGGGGTTTCTCTTCCTGAAATACCGTACTGCATACGGAATCGATGACAACCCCCTTTGTCATCGATTCCGTGTGCAGTACGGTACTTGAGGAAGAGACATTGAAGGACATTGTCTCGAGACACATTTCAATCCCTTTAAATGACTGGTGCATTTTCACACCATATCCATGATCCTCCATACCTGCTCCATACCATCCTAAACTCTTTATCCGGGAAGCATCAAGGAAAGAGGTCGGCTTCAACCCTCTATGTTTATCTATTCAATGCATGACTGAAGGCTGGATGAGAGGAAGAAGGGAAATAAAAAGAGAAAGGGAATTGCCACTGTGCAGCTCTGCTACTGGGGGATAACGAATCCACTCACTCTGAATTGATAATCCGCGATATCTCTATCCTCTTTTCTCTTTTCTTTTATCTTCAGACTCCACAAACAGAAGCCATTATCTACGATTGCTCCTCTGTCCTCGTTTCTCGCGAAAGAACATGCAAGTCGATCGAATAACCTGACAATTTCATGGTCCGGCGAAGTCACACTCCATCGGAACGTAGCCATTCCATTCCGGTGGATGCCTCGGTCCATCGTTTCCAGGAAGCTGGACTAGGAGTATATATTGCTGCTCGCATCAGGACTCCGGAAGAGCCATGAAACGGATCGTATTTCTTTGGGAATGGGTTCGGAAAAGAATGGTAATGCACCGTTTCTGACAGAGAGGGAAGGGAAGGAAAGCGAACTGGCCCGAGTTGGCCCGTTTGCCAACTCCATTGTCCAGCTTGTCACTCCCATACTCTTCATTCCTCCATCATGGTCACATTATAGATAATCCTTAGGGCGGGAAAAAAAAGGAAATGGAAGCAGAAGCGGAGGAATATGTCTACAAAGAAACTGTGTCGGTTCAATGAATCTTGAAGGGAAAAAGGACTTGAATAAATTTCCCGGAAGATTTTAACAAGGGCTTCTATGAGGGAGAGGTGGGCGGACTTCACGGAACAATTTTCATAAGAAGCTTTCATTCTTTCTCCTTAGAAACCATAATACAGTCTTGTAGGGACTTTAATAATTTCCTAGGTCGTCTTTTCCAAGCAGTGTAAAACCTATTTCTAGAGCTAGTTATTCATATTTACCCTCCACTCCAATGGGGTATTTTGGCTGAAGAGTCGGGGGAAGAGGGGGCTGGGGCGGCCGCCCCCCCCGTAAAATACGCTATTAATCCATCCCTTCCTCTGCATGAGTCCTGGAATAACACATCGCTATTGGCTTCTGGGTCATGATTCATCATTGAAAGAGCCTCAATTTGTGCATCGAAGGATATTCTTATCTCGGACGTAAAACTCTTAATAACTGATGAAGCCAACGATGGACGATTGCCTCGCGTCACGAAACCATAGGTTCTTCTCCTGTCCATGAAAGACTGAGTCAAATGTACATGAATGAGAGAAGCACAAAAGAAGCGAAAGCAAATGCAAGAAGCAACGGTTCTCCCGTGCTTGTTTTGTTTGGGAAAGAGGAGAGGTCATTGTCAATGTAAAAAGCCATGGGTGGGTTCGTCGATATATACACAAAAGGGTGCCATGCAACTCCCGTGTCTGCATCTAGCGAACACCTAAGGTCAATATATTATACACACAAGTATGTGCATACATGCCAGGGCTCCCCCCCCTTTCCCCCTTCTTGTTTCCTCTTCTCTTTCTTGCCTTCCTGTTGCTGCTAAAGACGCTGCAAACGAGCTTGAAGTCCCGAATTGGGAGAGAATCCTGGACACCTCCATCAGGTTGCCATAATCCTCTTTCGTGAGAAGTCCCAATGACTAAATTTCCCCCCTCCTTCTTTCTTTCCCTGAATGGCTCATAATCGCATTGATCAATCGACAGAAGAGGTGAAAAAGGGAGTAAACAGTATATAGACCTATAGGGAGAGGGAGAAAGTCCGGAAACGGGCTTTGGCTTGTGTCATGAAAGGAAGGCCAAGGGAGGGGGGGAGGGGGGGGATGTGTTTGAATCTTCGTCCGTTGCCATGGCAACCATCCTCAGATGCCGTCGCCCCCTTTTCTTTCCCTCCGTCTTCTCCTTTCCCTCTATCTCTCTCTCATGGGATGGATATATCAGATGAGAGATAGAGCATAGGGTGCAAGTGTGAATATTTCTCGATAAGCCGCTATATATTCACGCAAAAGGAAAGGCCATCGACCAAGCCAAAACAGGAGGTATGCCTATATTTAAAACATCTGGATATCTATAATTGAAGATGGGGAAACACGGGAAGAGATGAGACGATCCCATGACCAGGTATCAAGGTCCCTTTGGTCATTAATGCCCTTAGTACATGAAGGAGCGTGCCAGTCCCCCTTGTCTTATAGGAGGGTGGAGTGAGTAGGCTGATGCTTATGGATCGATCATAGTCTTTTACTATGAGCAGCTCATCTATCATGCATGCAAGACCCAAGCCCCAGACCCTTCCCTTCGAATGTGGCTTTGCCTACATTAGCCTCGCCCTTCACGTTCACGACCCAATCTCCTGATAACGACCTCCCCACAGGACTCATTACAGATCGATGGAATGTTAAAGTCTCCTTTTACCAAGGGTCCTCATTACCCTTGTTTCTCGTCCCCCTGCCCCCTTGCATCTTTAGGTTCGGAGCCAGTCGAGGCCACTTTTATGGGAGGTCATTTGATGTACGATGTGACTCGATCTGGTGGGGAAGCCATCGTGTCCAAGAACGACCAACTCACACTCACTTTCAGGACCAAAGAGCCCGACGGACTCCTCTTCTATACTGGTAATTATCAAACCAACCAGAACACCCCTTGCGAGTCGTGAAATATAGCTCTTATTATGACGATAATTTTATCGAACTCTTTAGGCGATGGGAGCGACCATATATACGTGAAACTTCAAGATGGGGGAATCTGGGCAGGGGTGAGCCTAGGAAGTGGGAAATGGGAAGCTAGGCTTCGACCTTCTCATCCGCCAGCCCGATTCCATGATCAACAATGGCATACGCTCAACATGTATCGAACCCTTCAGCAGGTATAGTTTGTCAATGACACTATCTCTTATTCTCTGAACACTCTATCCTCAACAATGAACAAGTCAACAATAATCCATCGGAAGCATCCATTCTATAATTCCCCAAGACTTTCATCAAGAGCCATCAAGAGTTAACATGCATTAATTATACAAGGCGCCCTTTAAACCGGGGCCACTCCTTGCTTTTCCTCTGTTTTGAGCACGTAACCTGGCAAAGCTATTTAAATCTACATTTTCCATGACATATCAAGACGGTTTATCACTTAACAATCAATGAGTCATGTCCTAATAAGTTCGAGAAAGAAACGAGTGCCTTTACGAAGTTTTGACGATCTGCTTTTTCTTGGACATGAACAGGGCCGGCCCTAGCTATTTCGGCGCCCTGTGCAAAGAACGCCCCCCAGCAGGGCGAAGGGTCAATCCCTAGCGTCAAATATGACACTGAAACTGAAGGCATTTCCACCTTCTGAGTAAAACTGAGGGTGGCATTCATTATTGCTTCATACATTTAGTCACATTTGGCACCTCTGGTGAATTTGCGCCCAGTGCGGAGGCATATGTGGCACATGCTCAAGGCCGATCCTGGACATTAATAAGTTTCAGGATCGTATGCACCTGACAACCAGGAGGTTATAGGCTCAAATACGGAGCATATTAATTGCTTAAAATATTAAATAATAAATTGAGTAAAAGGCATCCTGCATATATGCTTACAACAGATAAATCTATAATCGAACTATGATTACACTTATCTCTTCTCATGCTCTCTCGACGGGATTTCAGATCCCGGGATATGACAACATCCTTCACGTGAGTACATCCAATCGTGACAGACATGATGGACTTGACTCAGTCTACATCCCTTCCTTCACGAATGCTAGTATCTCATTTTGTTGACGGTTGCAGATAACGGTGACGGTAGACGGGGTGTACACTGAACGAGGTAGGACTCCAGGACCATTCACAATGCTTACCGCATCCAAGATCTACGTCGGCGGGGGAGAAATGGAATTAAGACATATTCCACCCTTTCGTGGGTGCATGAAAAAGGTGAGCATCCTTCAAAAGCCAAAAAGGTCAAAAGACATCCTTCTATAGCGAGCTTCATAACTCGTTCCCCCCCCCCCCCCAAATAGCACAGAAGATTGTAGGGGGAATTCCAGGTCTTTCCCACGGTTCTTTAATGCTAAGTTGCATTTCTAAGTTTCAACATTCCGCTCCCCTTCCTTAAAAAAAATACACCCTATAACAGATAACAGACCGCGAAAAAGTCCCAAAATTTCCCCTACAATGAGTTGACATTTAAAAAAGAGTTCTTGCGAATGAGTGCAATAGAGTGGGCATTTGTGAATGGGGTGTTTTGCAAACAGGTGGAATATTCGGCGAATAACCTGCACTTGAGGCTCTTAGAACTGGGATACTCCGGAAGCAGCCTGGTGACTTTCATGGGGAAAGTGGATTGGGGTTGCCAAGAACCCGAACCTTCCTCTCCCATCACCTTCACCAATCCTCTCGCCTATCTCGTCCGTTTCGCTTCCATTCCTATTGCATAAGGCATTGTTTTGTAGTCGGACTCGGGTTTGAGACCGTAGCTTTTGACTTGCGCCTTATAGATTTGGTAATTTACTCCTTCTTTCCTCTGGTCTGTTTCTATCTCTCTCTCTATCCTCTAGAGAGGTAACATGGAGGCAGTGATCACTTTCTTGGAGCCTCTCTCTCACCTGGTAAGATGAGAGCCCTCCTCCTAGGTTTCTTTTTCTTTTTCCCATCTCACATTTTTCTTTCCTTTTTCACTGCACTCGTCTCTTTCGTCGTGCCTAGACCCGCTTCTAGGTGACTTGATCAAAGAAAAGAAAGCCACTCGATTTGCACCCGCACATTGCAGAGCTGCAAGAGACTCACGATGCACATTTTTGCCCACTGCGATAACACGTTTCATGTTTTGCCTCTTTTTCGTTGCTGTTTCAGTCTCCTGCGGCAACTTGACCACTGCTTCCATTATTCATCCGTACTTAATTCTTCCTGTCTGCATGGATTTCTCACATTCGTGACAACGGAATGTCCTTGGCAAAAGCATGATCGATTCTTTCTTGGATCGCCGTAGATATCATCACGAATGCCGTCACCTTGACTTTCACATATGGGCACGCTTGAGTGTTTCGTTTGACTCGTGATTAGGTGCTGCCTGGCTGGGATGCAAAGGCATCGGGGGCCCTATCCTTCAAGTTTCGTACCAATGAAGACACGGGACTCCTTCTCTACGCAGCCGGACATGAGGTAATGCGAGAATCTCCAATGCGAGTGTTTTACGACTCCCTTCATTCCCTCCACTATATATATACATATACTTTACTGCATCTGTTGGGGAGAAGGCCGACTATGTTGCCGTGGAGTTGGTGGACGGACAGGTGTACTTACACGTGAATTTGGGTTCGGGTGCTCTGAGGATCTTACCGAGTCCCCGTAGAGTCGATGATGGATTGTGGCATGAGGTTCACCTCACACGAAATGCACGACAAGGAAGAGTCCTTTTGGACGATGCTCCTGCAGATTTCACCACACCGGGCATCGAAGAGGAACTGAATCTCGAAGGAAATCTCTACCTGGGTGGAATAGGTCCTTCGAGCCAGGCCTTCGTCTCCCCTCCACCCCCTGAGGTCTGGTCTGTCTCCTTACAGCGTGGATATGTCGGATGCCTTCGGGATTTCTTCCTCAATGGAGAACCCATCGATCTCGCCAGATACGTCAATCAACAGGACTCGGGTGAGACCAGCAGCCTCACACGATCAAGGGCGCCACTCGACCTTGTCTCGGGGAGAACTTTGCTATGAAATTGCTGGGTTTTCTTTTATCCGTGTCTCCTTGATTGCTGCAGAATCGATACTGCCGAGATGCCGGACTACCCGACTGCAGTGCACGAATCCGGTGTGCAAAAACGGAGGGATTTGTCACGAGGGTTGGAATCGACCCCTCTGCGATTGCTCCAATACTCCATTCACGGGACTTCTCTGCCAACGAGGTCTTTTTTTTTCTTTCTTTTCCTTCAACCCTTCCCTCGCCGTTTCCCTGGGGAAACCCCGTTTTAATTTTTTTTTTTGTTGCTTGGATAAAGATGCGGCTGTGCTGAGCTTCATGGGAACGCAGAAGTTTCGATTGACGAGGCCCCGAGTGATGAAGACCCAGGCGGAGGATGTGACGCTGCGATTTCGCACTTCTCGACCCGATGGAATCCTTCTTATCACTTCTTCCTCTTTAGACGGAAAGAAGCGAGACACATTGCACATCGCCCTAGCGGCTAGAAGAGTCCAGGTCTCCCTTCACATAAACGGGATCTCCCAGGTCTCGATAGGATCTCCTTCACACCCTCGTCCCCACTCACATGAAATCAAATTAGGCTCGTTATAAACAGAAGTGCATTTGCAGGAGGTGGTGGCTGGTGAGAATCTGAATGACAATAGATGGCATAACCTCAAGTACAGAAGGAGAGGCAGGAGTATTTCGCTTTCGGTCGATGGAGCTACTCCTGTCGTCGGTTAGTTAATGTCAATATCAATTCATACACTATGCTCACATTACTCTAACTGGCAATGACTCCGTTTTCCCGAACTGCGAATGTTTCACATCTCCCAAATCTTCGTAGTTGAGCTTCGTGGCGAGGTTTTGACGTTGGAGCATGAGGTGCTCCAACTGGGGAGTCCATTTCGACAATCCCTCTCCCCTTCTGTCAGCTACAATTCCCGCATTCATCAGCCTTACATCGGAAGCCTTCAGCATTTGATTTTCAATGGGGAAGAAATTCTGGAACTGGCCCGAGACAATCTTCTCAATAACGTGGACAATACGGCCACATATGGACACCGGGAACAAAGACTGCAAGATGCAGTCACGTTCAAGAACAAACACACATTCGTCGGACTCGCCGGCTTCGAATCGCGCGGTCTTCAAGGAGACCTAGGAATTTATTTCCAGATGAAGACCCTGGAGTCCAGTGGACTTCTTCTCTTCAGTGGCGGCAGAGGGGAGAGCAAACACTTTCTAGCAGTGGAACTTGTGAATGGACACCTGCAATGTGTGTTTGATGCCGGTCGAGGACTAGTCGTGATTCGAGACAATTTCCGAAGGCAGCTCAACGACAACAGGTGGCATTCCGTGAGCATTGGGATTGGGCAAAGGAAAAGTCAGGGTGAAGACGGAATCCAACACACCCTCATGGTCGACTCCCAAATTTTCACCACTAGCAGCGGAAATAGGGAGCTCAAGCTGGATCTGGGAGGCATCGTCTACCTCGGTGAGTCTTCTGGGTTTCTCTTCCCCCTCTCCGAAAGTCTACACACACAAGCATCCTCCTCAGGAGAGGATGACTAAAAATTCGATGAGAACCACTACGTCCATTGTGTCTCGTAGGTGGGATTCATCAGAGGAAACTCTTGCCAGGAGCCGTGCTTTCCAAGACAGGGTACAAGGGGTGTCTTGCCAGCCTGAGTCTCAATGGAGAACCTGTGAATCCTCTAAAAGATCCTGTTCTCCACAATCCCATGCTCATCTCTGGATGCCTTGGTGGGCCATTGACCTCCTTAGATGATAAAAAGAAAGAAGAGAAGACCTAGTTCACCCATGAAGTTCTCTATTTTGATAGGTGATCACGAACAGTGCCACCCTGACACATGCAAGCATGGAGGAGTGTGCATCCAAGAATGGAGTTCCTTCTCCTGTGACTGTGACCTCACTTCTTTCACAGGACATACCTGCACCAATGGCATGTGTCATGTCGCCTTTTTCCGCGCCCATCTACCCTCAAATATTTCCACGCTATCATTTTTGGAAGTGCATTTCCCGCGAGAGATGCAAGATATTCCACAAATTCAATGTCAAAAGAAAGCGTAAATTACTTTATACGGAGAGGCGATCGTTCCTGGCATGGCCAGACCGGTTTTTCTTTTTTAGGTCGGACACGAAGTACTTCGATTTGCTTGGAAATGCGACATTCAGCTTTTACGACGCTTTTCAAGCGTTATTTAGCAAAAAATGACGTTTTCCGTGATTTTTAAATTATTAATTTCTGACAGAAAGCAAAAGTCTGTACATTTTTCTCCTACTGGAAAAAGAACAGTGCAACGGAAATATTAAAAATTATCCATTTGAAAAATTTGGATATGAGCGTTCTACTGAACTCGATGAAAGGTTACGAAAATCTTTTGAGAGTGATGGGGATAAATTTCAAGGATACAAATCAGGCCTTTAATTGGACAATACCAATACCACAGGTATTGGTAGTCACTCATTCGACAAAAGAATATTCAAAACTTTGGTGTTTCCCCGGAAATTCTGGCTGCACGAGAAAGGAACTTAAAAAAAAAAGTTCTAATCTTCAGGAGGGCAGTGAACTATGAGGATATATGAAAATGAAAAAATGAGACTTTTTATTCTTCCTGTCTCTTACTAGAGAGTAATTCATATCGCTTTGGGTCTTCGGGAGGTCTAATCACGCTGACATACCCCGAGGAGCAGAGATGGGATTCTCGTACCGATATCCTTGCTTTGGGACTCATTACATCCAAGTCTCAAGCTCTTCTCGCCTATATAGACAGCTTCACTTCCTCTGATCGCCTTCATCTTCAAATCGTAAGCCTTCCTTTTGTACCTTATTACCTCCCTTCGGATCAAAGAACATTTCAGAGACAGAACATGTTCTCCTTAGGTGGAGGGTAGAGTCATGTTGGGGTATAGCCTAGGAAAAGGTGTAAGGACGCTGGGAGATCATGAAGGGAAGGTGGATGATGGTGAATATCATGTTGTGAGAGTCACTCGATCAGGCCCCAATGCTACATTGCAAGTCGATGATCGACCTCTTGTCGCAGAATACCCCTCAGGTGAGCCTTAGGTTCTCCAAGATCATTGGCGAATACGTTTGTTGCTGATTCTCGACTTTCTCTCCTCACAGCAGGCCCACACAATGAACCATTTGATGGAATCAGTCGAATTCAAGTGGGTGGTCGGTGGAATGAGCTAAAACAACAGATTGAAGAGCCTTTCCAAGGCACTGTCTCTGGATTTGTCTACAATGGACAGAGATTGCTGGACATGGCTGCTTATGATGATCCATGGATCAGGCTCCACGGAGATGTGCATCTCTTGTCCAAACTCCCAATCAAACTCACTCATGATCACATGCAAAAGGTCTTTTTTCTTTCACCCTTCCCCATTTATTGGTCAATTGAATGTGAAATGTGAGCAGAATTTCTTGAAATCCTAATAGAGTCCTCCAAGTGAGGGACCTACAACAGATGATCTGATACTACCAGAGGGATCCGGATGTCTACCTGAATACAGTGGTGGATGCATTTCACTCATACCACCTGGCACAGGTGAGAAGCACGCATGGAAAGATAAAAATAGATACTTGATACTTAATGTTTCAAGTCCAAATGATTCCAAGGCTAATCAAACAATTATCCTGCGTAACCAGGGCATCTCTTGAATCTTACATCTGGCTTACTAATTGCATGCGTGATCCCTCCTCATTTGAGACATTGGTATTAAATAATAATAAAAACCGTACAGTTAGATGTGACAAGCAAATGGGAATGCCTGAAATATTGACATGTTTAAAAATGTGAAAGTTCTTTTTATGTGTCAGAGACCAAGGAAGACCGTTTCCTTCTATAATAACAGAAGGAATGCTCTTTTTTGCAGATGAATTGGTAACACCAGTTTACATAGCTCCAATGCCACCATCAACTCCTCCTCCACCCTCACACAGAAAACAGTGGGAGGATGGGAGAAGAAATTGTGATGATGAGGATTGTGAATATGGGTCTGGAGATGGGATTTATGATCCTATTGATCAGTCTACCTTCCAGTCTCTCATTCCTGAGCTTTCTTCTCAAGAAGGTGAGTATAGAGATCCACATTGCTTGAACATTTCCAGCAATAAAGGCAAATCTTTTTCATGGCAAGTTTCTCTTACCTCCAGAGACAACTAAAGGCTCATTGACGCCATCAAGTTCATCAACCACAACATCCACCACCAGCACTTCCACAACAACAACTACAGAAACTACATCAACATCTCAGACCTCCAGAAAGCCATCAACAACATTGAAGACAACCACTACGAAAGCCACAACAACCACAGAACGAAGAGGGCCAACTTCAGCCAAGCCTACACCTCCACGTCTATTTCCTGAGCGTCCTCCAACAGAGGAGTCTACAGATCTGCCACATCCCATTCAGCCTGACTGGAAAAGAAAGGTTGAGGAATCCCAAAGGGCCAAGAATGCTGATGCAAAAAGCAAATCTGAGACTTCAGAAAGCACAGCCCTCATTGCAGGCATCATTGTGGCTGCAGTGACCTTAATTGTGTTGGTCATCTTCCTCATCATACGATTTCGTGGCCGCTCTGAGGGGTCCTATAAAGTAGATGAGAGGCAGAGTTATCAATATAGTACTATCAGTGGGACACCTGGGAGGTATCGAGGTGACAGACAAGCAGGATTCAATGGGATGTCCACTCAACGTCCAGGACGATGCAAGAACTCAAAAGACGTCAGGGAATGGTATGTGTGACACATGCGAGGGATGTGATACATCATCTGTGATCTCTCTCCCATTCACTTCCTCACTCTCTACAGAGTATTGCAAAAAAAGCCAATGATTTTTAATTGCTATATATCAGACTTTGATCAAACCTCACCAAATTTTGGGCAAACATAGCTAGTCTTTATTCTTCACTAGTTTATGAAGTATGTAAAATCTTTCATTTCAAATCAAAGTTATTAGCAATATTCTGCTATGAGTTTGAAAATTAAAATGGACAGCTTAGAAAATTACTACAGAATTCCAGAAGCTTTTGGATGAATTTTCCAATCAAAATATACTGCAGGACAATATAAATCTCCTAAGTCTCTCAAAGCAATACAATTTTGCACAGCACAATCATGACCAAGAACAAGATCAAACAAGCTTTTGCAGTTGCTGCTGCATTCATTGAAGAAGTTATCTATTCAAAATTGGACTTTTTTTTCAGAACATTGGTAATAACTTTGACAAATCAAAACAGCTATTTCCATTTAGAAAGAAGGAAGGCAAGCTACATTTGCTTGAAATTTAATGAGATCTACTTGAAGAAGTACTGAGATAAATCAACACAAAGTCTTTGTTTTTTTTTTGCCATACCCTGTACAAAAGGGAATGCATATCAAAGGACAGAGCTGGTACCAGGATATGCCAAGCCTAGAAATAATTCTACCTCGACATGAGATCATGAAAATCATTGTTGTTTTAGTTGCCTAGAGTGTGCTTGTGCTCTTATTTCATATCCTTCAAAAAATAATAAAAACTGTTGACCATGAATTCATGCTGTTCTTGTCCTCACATTTCTCTTCAGGAAGGAAAAAAAGCCAGAGAGCATGAAACATGAGTGTGTGTAACCCATTCAGAAAAAGAGTCAAAAGAAAGTCAAGTTAGGAAGAGAGGTTACATTACTGTGTAGTATTCACCTAAGTTAGAACTGAACATTTAAAGAGACATTTATTGGGCTGGTTATCTCTTACATATGATTTTCATGAGCTATTCTCAATGAATAGTACATGGGTCACTCAGAAAGTTTTGAGATGTGCAAGGAGATTGATGAAATTTCATTTCAACATCTACAACTTTTCGAAGTAAAAGACTCCATATATCATTTCACCATATAAAGCCATCTTTCAGAGCAACTATGTCATTCCTCCTATGCCACCTCAGAAATTGCTTCCTCACAGGCAATGATGGCATCTTCTGAACTTGGGAACTGCTTCCCTTGCAATGAATCTTTGACCCTTGTGAACAAAAGCCATTGCAAGGGTCCTTTAGGGCATTTAGGTCAGAAGGGTGACCAGGCAAACAAGAGTTTCTTCCTGTTAGACCACAGTCCTTGTTGCTTTACTGCTGGAGGAATTGTTGTGATGCAGGAGGAGGCCCAGAGCCCAGGGCATGGTTTTTTTTTTGCACTTTTTGGGAAACTTTGTGCAGGCACAGAGTGATATACCACTCAGCATTCACTATTATTCAGTCCTCTGATAAAACTGTCGCTACATGACCACTTACAATCAAGAAAGTGGCAACCATCTTCTCTTCACTGTGGCAGGGATATTGTCCTAATGGAACACCCAAACAGCATATTGCCCCTTTGTTTCCAGGTCTTACTGGTAAACACCTCACCAGTGTTGATGTTAAAGCTTAATTTAGAACGCTCTTGAAAAGGTTAGAGCATGCACTCACAACATTCCTCTTTTTCTCATTTGCCAAGTTGGGGGTCTCAAGAGCAAGAAATTTTCCTGACTCTAAAAAAATCGATGCAGGATTTCTGCAACATTCCCTGATCAATGTTCAGGTATCATGGTGCATACAGACTCAATCTCCTTGAATCATAGCCTCCACTTTCTGGATGTTTTCTTCAGTGAAAGCAGTTGCAAGTCTTCCACTGAGGGGATCATCTTCAATCCTGGTTCTTCCCCCCTTAAACTTGGCAAAGCAGTGCAAAACTATGGCTATGGAAGATGCACTGTCCCAAAATGTAATATCCAAAAGGGCAAGATAGTGCACTTAATTTTAAGCACTTATCTGGTCATAGAGAATCATGGCACAGAAATTCTCCCTGGTGCTGACTAAGAGAATGCATACAATCTTAACTTTTAAATATTCCAGAAAATACAGTTCTATGGGAATCATGTTGAAACTTGTTCTCAAGGGTTAGAAAAGAACATTTTTCAACCTGCTTAAATCAGTAATCTTTATGCTATCCCATTTTTGCACATCCTGAAACTTTCTGAGTGACCCTCGTAAATGAATATCAATCAGTTCAGAGAGTTTTCTCGAAGTTCATTAAGAATTTCCCCATAATATTTTAGAGAACTGTCTATTTCAAATGTCAGACTTGTCATAGATATATAATTCAAACTTTGATTTGAAATAATGGATTTTTGCAGCCTTGACACATGAATAATAAATGAAAACTGCTACATCCTCCACAAAATTGGTGAGATGACTTAAGCAGTTATGACATACAAAGTTACTGATCTTTTTTGTCACATCCTGCACTCAGGCTAATGTAAAACAAGGGAAGCTGTAAAAGAACTTTGAGAAAACTCTCTAGATTGATATTCATCAATATATCTGCTATTCATTGGGAAACTTATGAAAACCATCTGCAAGAGACAACCAGCCCATTGAATGAATTGAAAGGGAAAAGAAGTTCGATGTTGTCTCTAACCAGGAAGAACAGCGCACAAGTGTTTCCTCCACTCCACTAACAGCAGGAACTCGTCCATTCTCAATATCTCACTTCTTTTCGATGATGCGGATAGCATTGCTTCACCTCAACAAATTTGGATGAAATTTGCAAATCAGTTAGAAACATACTCGTATATGCTAAGTAAAAGGTTCATGAAAATAGCTCCAGGGTGAGTGGAGATAATTAGGTTGAAAGCTGTAGGTCATATTTTTGCCATACACTATATTATATAGCTAGAACATCAATTTATAACATTAAGTGAATAAATGACCTTGGCCTTGTGGGAAATTAAGGCAAAATAGGTTTGCATAGTTGACACATTTCAATTCCCCATTTAATCTAAATGCCCTTATTTCATAGCTTCAGTTTATAAAAGTGACTTCTCCAGTCCCCTTGGTTGTGTGGAGGATGCTCCACACTAATTTGGATATGCTATTACAAGAGTAGGAATCAACCCCTGGCATCAAGGAGGTTGTGAATATGTGGTCCATGCAGTGTGATGTCACAAGGATGCATATATAAGGGGCTGAGGGGACTCCTTCAGTAGTTGAGGCAGGAGAATACTTCTCTCCCTCTTTTCTATCCTAATGTACACAGCCTTCCCCTGTGCTCTGCTGTCTTCCTAGCTCCCCTACCATATTCTTTTCTCATCCATTGGTATTCCCTTAGTAGCCATTCTTAGCTTCTCACTATTTCCTCTCACTAGCATCTTTTTCCATTAGGGTAGGAATAACTGCATGTATCAGGGCAATTAATTTGAATCTATGGGTGACACGATGGGCCACTGAATCAACAGGCAAACAGAGAATCTGACAAACATGATTCCAATTGCCACTCAAAAGCTCAGCTGTTGCAAAAAGCTAAAAATTGCCCAAGGAAAGGACTTCTTTTACATTGGGATTTTGTTCTTTCTAAGGAAGACTTGTAAGCTGAGGCAACATTTGTTCATAGTGTAGTATTCATTGCCACTCTGAAATCGCTCTAACTCTTCCCACCCTCTTAGCTCATCTAATCTAGAGTAAACTCTGATATTTACTTTGATTTTCCTAACTGGCCAACTACTGGAGACCAGCCAGAAACTGGGCTGTTTATCCTATGTGATCACTCAATCAGGTTTTTGATTGTCCTGACAAAGTTGCCTGTCAATCAATGTGTGGATAAATGCTGGAATTTGGGATTTTTGCTTTAGTCATGGACACCATGCAAGAACTTTCTCCCTATCAGATGTGCAATGTTCCTCAAATTTGACCACTTGTGCTGGAGTTCTTCACAAGCATTTTACTTGTTTGAATGCAAATTATGCAGTCATGAGTCCAGCTTGTAGGTCATACTTTGAACTTTCTTTTAGGTTTTAATACCTTGGACAACCATCTCATAAAATAGTTCAATTGTTCTTTATTTTTTTAGCAACACATAGTAAGACTATGCAAATGTCTTTAAGTGGCCAGGATTAGGAGGAATTTTGCACAAGTTCTCATTCAAAGAAAAGGTTGGAGAAGAATATCCCTGATGACATATTTATCTTTTGCTTAGGTCTGCTATATGCCATAGGGTCACAGCAGAGCAAATTTCAGGAATCATGAACAGGTTTATCCTTATTTATTTATTAATTCAAAATTGTTTTCCTTTATTGCATATATTTCCAAACTTTTATAATTCAATGCTTATTTTGAAATTCTTCATCCGGATAGTTAACTCTCTGAAACATTAAATCACTCTCACCTGTACACCTGCAGAATTCCCAATTAGTCTCGATAGCATTGTTCCTACTCTGATTACAATTGCTAATTTTTTCCATGAAACCAGGAGTGATCAGAGCATAACTGGGAATACCTGGGACTAAAGGCAAAAAAAGCCCCTAGAAGGGACAAGAACCATATTTATGAGATGATGGGGCTGGGTTTTTGAAATACAAAATTTATATATTGTCTGCATTGTTCTAGTGCCCACCCAAACAATGGATGGATCTGACAAATAAGAAGCTGCGCAATTGAAACATGAACAAAAAATGAAAGTGAAAATCTGATTTAAATAAATAAAACCTTACTCTTTGATTAAAAAAAAAATCATTTTTGCCAACCCTGCTTATGAGGCAAAATAGCAAGCTATAAAAAAATCTTCAAGAGGTTCTATCAACTTGACATTCCATGTTTTAGTGCTTTCCACTTCAGTTAGACAATTTCTCACATGACTAAGACCAGTGCAAGGGGTATTCAGAGAGGAGGCAAGGGCCTAGGTGACTAGCAACATCTTCCTCTCCTTCAAATATTTAGGCTTTTTATATGAATCAAACTATGTACTGGAAACAATGAACTGCATGCATAGCCATGTTGTCAATGGGAGACCTTCCTTGCAGTCTATTTAAATAAAAGGCTCTAAGTTTTCAATTTCCCATCAGCTCAATAACATAGAAACACTGGATTGGACTTCGATGGACAATCCTAGATCCACGTTAGATAGGCCTAATCTAGCCTACGTGAGTTCAGCATGGGGAATGATACTTCAGAACCCAGGAACGATGCCCAAAACTTCACCTGTTTTATTGAAATATTAATGAAAACAGTAATGGGTGAAACGAAACCCTAGTTTTTCACTACAACATTAAATTATCATTTCAATATATTGTGCATTTGGGAAGGTTCACATTGATTGTCCTCTTCAGCAGGAAATTAATCATCATTGCCAATGTCATCACGACATCTACACATAAGAACTCCTAGTTTCTGCATTGATCTGTTATATCACCCTCACTATACACGGTTGTTGAAGTCAAGTGAAAAAATGTCTAACTCAAGTGAAAAACACTATAGCAAGTTTCTCAGGCTACACTTCTTTTCACAAAATTCAGTGAAAGAACATATGAACCAATAAGTTGACAAGATATGAAGTTCATGACATATTATTATTCATTCCGAAAATTCAACACAATCATGTAATGAATTGGTTGAATCTTTAGGATCCATCTTCTCCTTTTGTGGTTCGAGTATAGATCAGCTGTGAGTGATGTTTCACCACCTGCTTTATCAGTCCTGAGGTTGGGAAGAAAAGGAATAAAAAATCTCATCTCTGTCTATATAGATAACAAATGGCTATGAAAATCCCAATAGTATACCCTTCTGTTGGAGTTCATCCAAAGCTCTTCTTGCCAGAGAACCTCGGATTTTCAATCTCTCTGATACAACCGATGGGGTGATGAGCTTGTACATAGGGACTTCCTTATATAACTTGTCATATGTTGCCTTGTCAAACAAAACCAAGTTGTTCAACTTGTCTCGCACTTTTCCCTTGGACCACTTCTGCAGGAGAGAATTTTAAATGAGAATTATTACAATAATCCCACATTTGAGCACAAATACTAGATAATTGTAAGAAAAAAAAATACAGTATGGGTATTCTTTAAAACCTTCCCTAAAGACTGACTGGATTTAATCAGTCTGCAACTAATTATATCACCTGAAATCCTGCCTTTATACATTGATGCAATCAGGACAACTTTCAAGCTATCCAGAAAGATACCAGTGGCCAAATTTACAGCTACAGTCACAAAATAGAGATTTGTCTACTATGTATCTTCCCTACTGATATTCCATATTGATATATTGTACCATATTCTATATTATATTTCAAGAAATGATTTGCCAAATCCATCACCCAGTGCTAATATGATAGAAAATGCAGGTGACAGATACAACATATAACCATGTGGAAGACAATGATCAATTATTGACCTGAAAAAGTCAAGAAACATGGCCTTGAGAAACAGGAAAACCAACAACATGACCTTGAAAGATAGAGGGTGTCAGGTGGTAAGGCACCAGGCCATAGGATGTGAGCCCAATCCCATACAATGCTGTCATTCCTTTATTCAGCTATCAGTAATAACAAGGGAATAACCTGACAATGTTGCATCAGGAACCAATACTGATGGCTTTAAGTGTTTATGTCCATACTCAGTTTCGTGTATTAGGAAAGTGGGCCTTCTATAGGTCAACTGCTCCTACATGCATGGCTGCTATAACTATAAAACTAAGACATCACAGGGTAATACTGTGATACAAACTCATCATGAGCAACATAAGTAGGAAGTAGCTCCTTCGCAATTATCAATTTGCATTCTGGGGGCTGCATTTATAAGTATTTTTCCTTATGACATGGCCATAGTTGTAGCAATTTTCATTATTGAGAAAGATTCTTCAGATGTTCTATCCTGGAATCATATTACACTTAATTGCAGATTTTCCCCCTTTTTTAATTGTCTGTACCCCTCTACCCATGAATTGTGGAACTCATGAGCTGGCACTGGGAACAATACTAGATTATATCAGGCATTATTTATAAGACTTTGAGTTGGATAAGATTATGATAGATCATACCATCTGGGGGGGGGAACAAACAAAATGTTTGCAGATGAAAAATCATAATTGATTGCTGACCTACCTTCTTCTTAGCCTTTCCACCAGATGACCCTCCTTCCTTGGGCTTCTTTGGAGCCTTCTGAGGCTGCTTTGAGGACTTCTGATCCTTTTTGGCCCCCTGGTTGAAGTATCACAAGAAACATGATGAAACTTGGGATTCTTGAGTTGACATAGGCCTGACCTCGTAGTCAAACTCAACGTTCAAGTTAATCCGATTATGATGTGCCTACCACTATCAAACCGACAAATGCAAACATATTCTACCTTAAAGCGAATACAGAGTAGCTTCACGTATTTTTAGGATGGCATTGTAATTTTCCACCTGCGTCCGTATTCAGTGAAATCAGGTTCTAGAGGCAGAACTTGTACGTCTATGGGAGTCGCTACAAAAACATTTCGATAATGATTTCATTGAAATGAGGTGAGATCAAATGCAAGAATTCCTAACCAAATTCTACGTACGCTGAAAAAAAGGCCTAGGCCAAGTATTTGAACGAAATTTTACAATATAGCTCCGAAATAAGTCAATATACCAGTAAATATTAAACAAAAATACATTTTTAGAAGTGTTTCTGTTGATTAACGGAAGATTCCTCTTCACTGGCAACAAAAATTTGGAAAATTTCTCACCATCCTTGATGGAAACTTCACAGACACAGCAAGACCAGATAGCCGGAAGACTGCCTTCAAGGATGCCTATAAAAAGCTCTCCCTGGACGAGGGAATCACACCAAAGATGTTCTCCTCTGGGCTTCTGTATACTCTCTCCACCATTATTTACATGAAAAAGGGGACCAAAAATTGCTTATCCTGTAGAACTTCGATTAATTTTTCTTGAACTTTCTCTTAAGTTTTAATTATAAGTAGGTTGGGATACATCACTTGTACCAGCAGTCAGGCATTCATGGCGACTTGCATGAGTGCGAGCGAGACCACTTGGCAGTTTCCGGCTGACTGAAGGCTTGGCTTGGATTAATATCTATTATTGTTTAGATATGGGTCATACTTCTAGCGAGGATGCTCCTAGGCTTCGGTTTACTAGCTGAAGTCTGGAAGTGTTCCTGAATTTCTAGCACTTCTAATATAGGGTGACCAGACGTCCCGATTTTACCGGGACTGTCCCGGTTTGAATTTTCTTTTCCATCCTGGTGTTCCGGTTTCCCCTTCCCCTTGTAGGGACTAGCATTCGGGCATTTTCTTGAAAATGTCCTGGTTTCTCCTGAAAGAAAAAAAATCTGGTCACCCTAATTTAACGTTAACGCTATCAGCTGTTTAATGTCAGAGGCTTGAGTATGTCCATCTTTAGTTGCTAGTGAGTTTTGTGATCGCTTCTTCCAGATTCGTGCTTTTAATGTGATTGCCTGTGCTGAACTGTGAAAACATAGGCTGATATACCTAGCCTACCTGATCACCATGATGCTCCCTTTGACAACAAAAGATCATTCTGTGGGAAGAATACAGTTACTTCAAGACAAAGTCAGAAGTTGGCTGAGACTTGTTTTTTCTGACCAGAACTCCAGGAACTTGTTTTTTTTCCTCCTCCTCAATTTATCCTTTGCATTTGTTGAGCTGGCATATGGGATCTGGACTAACAGCTTGGGACTCATATCTGACTCATTCCACATGTTCTTTGACTGCACGGGTCTTCTGGCTGGAGTGATTGCATCCATCATCACAAAGTGGCGTGCAAATGATAAGTTTTCCTATGGCTATGTTCGTGCTGAAATCCTGGCAGGATTTGTCAATGGACTGTTCCTTCTCTTTATTTCATTCTTCATCTTCTCAGAGGCTGTTGAGCGAGCTGTTGAACCACCAGAAGTGAAGCATGAACGTCTCTTTCTTGTATCAGTGGCAGGTCTCTTGGTAAATCTGGTGGGGATTTTTATATTCCACCATGGACATGCACATGGGCATAGTCATGATCATGACCATGACCATGGTCATGGTCATGGTCATGGTCATGGTCATGGTCATAGTCATCACCATCATCATAATCATTCTCATGAGAATGATCATGGATTCAAAAGCTCAGGGTCTAAAATTATGCAAGGAGTATTCTTTCACATTCTTGCTGACACCCTTGGGAGTGTTGGAGTGATAGTATCTGCCATCCTGATGAGTCAATTTGGCCTTATGATAGCAGATCCTCTTTGCTCGATGTTCATTGCTGTTTTGATTGCTATGAGTGTGTTGGCCTTGATCAAGGATTCTGTAATGATCCTCATGCAGCGGCAACCAAGAGAACTAGACAATCTCTTGTCCCAGTGCTACCAGAGAGTCCTACAGTTGGATGGAGTTGTTAGTGTTCAAGATCCTCATTTTTGGACACTCTGTACTGATGTTTACTGTGGAGGGGTAAAGCTGGAAGTGCTGCCAAATGCTGACCCAAGGTACATTACCAGTCATACCCACATGATCTTTACAGCAGTGGGCATTAAGCAGTTATATGTTCAGCTTGATTATGCTCCATTATAGCATTCAAGAAATCTTGCTTCATCTCAAAACACTTAAGGAAAAATGAAAATAAGGATATATAACAAGCTTAGAGTCTCTCACATTCAGGGTTTCATCAGGATCTGATGACCCTGCACTAAAACTGTGATGATGTGAGCGAATTCTCTTGCATTGTGCATTTTCTCTGAAATATCTTATTTGTTGGTTGTTTCATGAGATGTTTCCTTTGGGCCCATTTCTTGACCTCCACAAAGAGGATGGTTCCTGTTATAGTTGTTTTTTTCTTATTTTTGCTGTTTTAAAGTGAGTGGAATATTTTGAATTGAAGTCTATGGTGGAGGCAATTTTTTGGTTTTCTTTTTTTTTTTTCCAAACATTACATTCCCACCTCTCTATATATGTCTTTAAGCAAGGATTCAACAGTAAAAAGGATATGAACCATTCTTGTGAGTGATTTTTGCTGAAGTTGTGGTCTGTTATTTATTTATCTATGGAGGGAATTTTTATATTGAAAGAAAAGAGTTGTATTCAGCAAAATGATGCTTTTTTGCTTCATATCCTGCATGGATGACCAAGTTTAGAAAAAGCTTTTATTTTGTCACAGAATTATACAGGGTGTTCGCAATGAGTTCACACAACCTTTAATGTGAACCACTATCTTCTATTTAATGTTACCAGCAGAACTAATATTTCCTCTAGTCTTTCTGAATACTAATGGCCTAATTGGAAGACTGTTAGCATATTTTGTATTTCAAGCTCTAATCCTTTAACATGTTGACTGCCATAAGACCCACTGGTGGGTTGTATTGTGCTTAAAATTTGAAAGGCTCTGAATTTTACATACCTCTCTATACAGATGTGCAGCTTGTATGAGGGTTCCTAAAGGTGTTTACTTTCATTTAAAAATCAGGAAACCAAAATAAGAGTTTTGATTGTCCAAGAAACTAATATACTTGCTGTTTACATATATTTGCCAAAAACTAAATGTAATACTGACACAAGTAAGTAATGAAGTCATAGGCAATGTCTGCAAAAAGGTGCCACAAAAAATTGGTATGAGTTGTCTACAAAAAATGTTGCAACTCTCCCATTTCACAAAACCTTGTGTATTCATTTAGTGCATTTTGAATTATAATGTTTCAGGGACACAAAGGGTTTCTGGGGCACTGTGAGCAGAACATTGATACCTGTGGCATTTTTCTGACTGTTTGTCTAGAACACATTGCCTTACTGAATTCCTTGTAGCAGTAGGTGCATCTCTTCCTGATTCTTCAGTTGGTAGTGTGGTGTAGAGAATGCTTATTTTTAAGAAATGCATGAGTGGAATATTACTCAATGAAATATGGGGAAACAAACAGAGAGCAAGCTCCCCCTCTGTAGTTCTCCAGTGACACTGGTTGAAATCAACACAAGCATTGATGTAATCTCACAAGGTAAGCTACACAATTGGCTGCAGGAAAAACATTCTTCATGCCCACTATTGAGAGCCTCAAAAGTTACCTTGTTTGTGTACAGACACTGGTGGGTCATATGGCTTCAGAGTGATGCTTGATCACTGTGAGGCCATAAGACCTACCAGTGTCTATACATCAAACATAGGATATTCAAGATTGGGGAACTTCAGGGAAAGGATTTGCACCACTAATAGCCATTCTTGTGTGAGACATACTTTTGGCCCCTAGGGGTGAAATAAGTAAATAGGTGAAAAAATGACTTGGCAGTCAACATGTTAAACAATGTTTTGGTGCACATCAAGAAGGCCTAAGGCTCTCAATAAGGAAGACTTGGGGGCAAGAGAATTATTAATTTACTTTACTGGTTTCTCAGTCTGATTTTGCATTTTCATTGGGTGATAATTTAATAAAAGTTTTAAGTTAATTTTTATACTGAAAACATGGATTTTTCTTAGCAAATTTGAAACAATTTTCCTACTTTTGCCTGTTTACTTTCCAATTCTTACCAGAAGAATGTAAAAAATGGTCAGACCAATTTCAAACCTAGCTTAAATTAAAACAGAAATGAAGCAACAATTCCCTCATATTAGGTAGAATGCAGAGCATAGCAGTAAGTGGTATCAATCATCTAACAATCCTGCAGAGTACAATGAACTGAGGGGTTCATTGGAGGAAAAGTTTTTTCTGATCTCTATACATAGAAGTGACATGAATTTTTTTCTGGAAACACTTATGCTCAACAATATAATTTCCTCCATATATACCTCCCATACTTCCAGAAATATTGGTACTTCTTCAGCTTCCACCCATGTATATTGAACATAAGGTTGGCTAAAAGAAGAGCAACTTCAGTTCCAAGAGTACCACTGTTGACAAGAAAATCAACTGGTGAGGGTGAATGAAAGCACTGCATCTTGGTGTACCTTTTGCTCAGTGTAAATAATTGTGTTTTCGTAAATTGTCTGATCCCAGGCAAAATACCAGTATGAGAGCTTACTATGTCTTTTCCTGATGTCCTAATGTGGAACCTGTAGGTATTTAGTATCTCTTTCGTGAAAAATTTTTTAAACAAAAGGGTTCTTCAAGCAATAAAACTCATTAAAGTGGTCGTATCAACATCATGTGGGTGGGACTCCATTTGACATACTATGCAGGAAACAGCAAAAAACTACAGTAGTTTGCTTCTGCTCCACAAGTTGAATGAAGTTTAAGTCCATTAAAATAACTACCTAAGTGGGCAAGAAATAAGATGGGGGATATTTAATACATCCTACAATCCTTTCATCTTCATCTAGGCCATCTGGATTGTTATTCTGCCTCATGCTGGAGTGGTATCTTTCAAGATGCAGTAGGAATGGTCAGGAAAGCTAGGATACTATAAAGCAGTGGTTCCAAATCTTTTATCTGCAGCACACATAAGAATACTTGAACTTTCCATGGCACACCCAGCCATTTATTTACTTTCAATGGGAAACTTGTGCTTACTTTGCTGAACACAGCAGTTTGATACGAGGCATGATGGCGCTCTCAGCTCATTTTCCATGGAGATGGTGTTCTTTCTTGTTTTATGTTTTTTTGGTTTTTTGTCAACTCAAATCTCACTGCACACCTAAGCCTTACTGGTAGCACACCATTTGGGAAGCACTGCTATAGAGATCTCTTCACCATTGCTCAAAACATAGGAACAATTCAATACCTCATGTGCCATGCAAACCATGTTGCTATAGTCTAGTTGGCCTTGGTTTCACTTGTAGTGAATGCACTTGTGGTTTTGATGTGACAGATCAAAAGGGAGCCTCAGTCATTAAGTATCACTTAAGCTCCTCACATGAGACACGGCAAATGGAGGGATTTTCCTTGAAAATCAGGATTGTCAACTTTCTTTTGTTCAATCATAGCATGAACTCGGAATGTCTTCTCTCTCAAAGGCAATCAATAACAGCAGATTTCAAGCTAGTGGATCCAAGAAGAAATAAGAGATATAAGGTGTGGGAAAGGTCAGGGAGATGTTCAAATCATCAGTTCTGATTGGAGATCATCCAAACCCAGTAAAATAGTGCCTTGTCCTTCACCAGAATCGTCACAGGATGCATCACCTATTGGAATTAAGGAGGGCTCTCAAGCTCATCTTCAAAGTGCTGGACAACTCTATAGTAATCACTCTCTAGTTCTTTGCAGTGCAGAACAACCAAGTGTGTCTTTGCTGCCAAGTAGACTATATGAGAACCATGCATACTCTGATTGCAATCAGGAGCCTCCCATATAGCCCATCTTATATGGAGACTGAAAGTTATACCCCTTTATGACGAATTTTTCAAAATCATAGTAACCCCCTCAAGTCTGAGTTATTTGCTGAAAATTCCAAGATGTACAGATTTAGTTACTTTCCTTATATTATCAAGGTGGCATGATTATTGTTTGTAGCATCATGTCCAAGTCAACAGACTGAAATGGGGAAATGTAAGATCTGTCTGAAAGTGGACCATGTTGTGGGAGACCAGTTATTGAACTTGGAATAAAACCTAGTTCACCTAGTTCAAAACCTAGTTGAACCTAGGAAAGTATTGTCTATAATGTCAAAGGGGTTTCCACCTTCTAATCAAGTTAACAGGAAGGAATTGGAAAAGTTTAAAACTTTCAGTCACATCAGGGTCTTTTATCATTTAGTCACTGTCTTTTCTTGAAAAGGAAAGAATGGATTGTGGGGAGCAAACAAGACTAGCAACACTGGCAGAGAATGTCTGAAAGGGCCCTTTATGACAAAAGGAGGATATATTTTGTGTTAAAGTGAACATTTCATTGTGTGCTCCTGGAAGGGCTTAATTCCATGACATATCCATGAATTTCAACTCCTGCAATGCAAATTTCATCAAACAAGAAACGAGAACCCTAGCATAGAGAATTCCTTAACACTTTCACTGCCATATGACCCACCGGCAGGTCATACGGTCTCTCTACCACTGAATTGTACAATTCCTTTGCTTGAAAAGAAAAGCTCTCCCTTTCATCTTAGGAATTTTATTGTTACCTCCTGATAAGGCCAACTTAAAAAAAAATATGGCAATGTTTCTTGACTCAATTTTTAATATTACTCTATGAAAATATCTATGTAAAAGGGTAAAATAATTACTTCTTTCTCATTTCTGCATATTTTGGGCCAATTATGGGTAAACAACATATTAAAATAAGAATGCAGAAACATAGGAAAGACTCCTTATGTATATTTTATATGTAGTATGTATGTAAACATATCAAAAAGTTCCAGAACTGGATTTCATACAAGCAAACAATGAGCAGAACTTATATTTTAGTATGATCCTCTTTGAAATACAGGGTTGGCAAGAAAAGTAAGCCATTTGAAATTTTGTTATGGAATCCATACCCTTAAATGGATCAGCTTAAAAAATTGAATGGAATTTTGCCTAATATGCTTTCCTAGGGCTTTTGAAATTTCATCAACTTATGGATACCCATAAGTTCATGAAGGTGCAAGGTCCAAAGAGTACGAAGGATGTGGGAGAAATGTCACTCATTGGTTATAAATTCAACGGTATTGCACGGGTACTGATTGCTAACAGTGACTGCAGACAAGCACAGTTTCCTCATTATGGCTCTTCAATTGCCATCCAGTGCAGTCATCATCTCCAATGGATGCCCTACTTGCTACAGACACTTCACTCCAGTTGGCTCAAGTGAGATCAGTATGAAGTATGAAGAAATGTAAAATAGTTGTTAAAGCTTGAACTCTCCTTACATAATTTGTGCCATCAAGAATCTTCATATGGAGGGACAGGAAATTTCATCTTTGTCAATCTTTGAGACTGTTGGGAAATAGGAAAAAACCTAGCCAGTTGCACTATTGACTCATGTTTCCCAAAATTTAGGCAGAATCATTAAAGGGAAAGGGCTTTAACCCTTTCATGGCATATGATCATATCTTTTGGGACTGCCCTTGTGTTACTATATTTGAAAAACCAGTTTTAAATTGTACCATTTGATAGCTCTCAACGAGGGCTATTTGTAAATATATTGTTAGTTTAAGCAGGCTGTTATTCAATTGAAAGTGAGGTTGTGAAAATAAATTTTGAAAAAATTTTCCTAGTTATTTGTCTTCTTAATTTAGCCATGAAATGGTTAAATATATTAAATTATGGTTCTAAGTTCTGATAATTATGAAAGATTAAGGAAGCTAAAAATTCAAGAATTTTATTTTTCATATCAATCTCCAAGATACTCATCAAGCCAGTCTTCCAGTTCTTTTCTACTTTCAGTTTCCCCTGTTGTGCATTTTGTCAGGTTATGGTCCTCTTCTACCTCGTTTCCTACAGAACAATCACAAGAATGTCACAACAAACCAAGAGCACAAGGGAATAATGGCATAACTGAAGTAAAAACTCACTTGATGCAAATACAGGTTTCTGGGATATTTGATCCTGCTCAAGAGAAGAACCTTCTTTACCCTCCTCTCCTCCTATGGTGTTACCTAAAGTGAGGAGCTCTTCCAGATCCTTATCTACCTTCTCCATCTCCTTCTCAACTCGATTAACCCCATCTGATGGAGTCAAGTCATGAGGTGGCACAGCTTGCACTCCACTTACTGGATGACTGAAATGCACTTTTCCCTGCTCTTCCTTCTTCACTGTTGAGCCAAGCAACATGCCAATCAATCTTTGTGCCATTTCCTCCACTGACACTGGGGAAGGCACCTTTTCCAGTGGGTTTTGCTTTTTTGGTATATAGGTCTCACGTTTTGCTTTGGCATCTTCTTCCAATGCAACTATCATGTGGTTCTATTCAAACATACAAAAAATACCCAAAAAATGACTAACAATGCTTTCTTGTAAAACTATAAAAAAGGATAGAGAAAACCTGACAGAAAGGATGTCAAGAGGTACTTGAAGCCTTTCATGAAGGGGAATGGTTTGAAGAGCAGCAGATAAGTCTTCTGCATTAATGTTGAAGATTCCCCCTGTTTCCCCAGCTTCTTCTTCCTCCCACAGTCGTTCTGATTTGAATTGGAACCAACTTCCTGTCCCTAGAGACATTTAACTTCCTAGACTATTCAACCATGCTCTCCTCAGAGAATTGTAAAGAAAACATTATTCTATACAAACCAGTTTGAGAAAGGACTTCCTTGAGGTCAGCCCCACGAAGAAAGTCAGTTGTATCAAGTGATTTGTCCTCCTGTTCTTCAAGGGGTTCCTCATATCGGTCCCAATTGCTCACAATCTTCCTTCTCCATTTCCATCCATCTTCAAGAGGAGTTTCCATTCCCAATTCTTCTTCTGTCTTTGCTGTAGGCTCAAACACCTCTCTCTTGGATATGTTTCTTTTCCCATCAATACCTGGATCATCCATCTTTGTCTGTACCTTCTCAACTCCTCTCTTCTCCTCTAGTGTCTCTTCATCTTGTCCTTTTCTTCGTCCTCTCTCCCTTCCTCTTCCTCTCTCTCCACCTTGTCCTTGTCCTCTCTTCTTTTGATTCCCCATCTCATCAGTAACCTCACTTTCTCAATGCATCTTGGATGATCATCACTGAACTCTTTTATCTAAATTTGAATGATAAAACTTTTTTTTCTAATAAACAAATAAAGAGTGCAGAAAAACAGTCAGTTTCAGGATCCAAAACAGGAAATCAGGAAACAGTTTTTTTTTCCATAGAAAAAAAAAATTCAGGAATGAATCTCCATCATATCAATTCTCTTACAATAATGGTATCTCATGACAGCTTCTTACTTTTGGCAAGGAAACATGAGGAAGTGCAAAGCTAAAGCAGAGAGAGCTTCAAAGGTAAGTGCAAGTGGATAAGATGTAATGCCCATTTCTAGCAAATCAACAATTGAATTTTCATTGATTTTTATTGAAATTTTCAATAAAATCAAAAGAAATAAATTTGTCCAATAAAATTGGAATCCTAAGTAAATTTCTCAGTCATGATTGCATCTATAGATTAAAAGGGACAAAGTCATAGCAAATAGTACCATTAGAGAAGCCTCATGATCTCTTGTAATCCTGACCCACAACACCCTTCTTGGAAGATTATAAAATAATCTTCAAGCAGTAGCATCATCATTGGGACTGTGCGATACTGAACTGGAAATATTGTAATAATTTATCATATTGATGACAGGGCAGAAAGGGCAAAAATTTCCTTTCTCAGCACATCACCCTCTGAAATTTGATAAGAATACCCCAATGCAAGAACACATCTTAGCTCAGACGGTTTTGTTCCTTGTGGGTATCCCATGTTGTTAATGATCAAATCCCTGCTGGAAGAGAAAGAAGGAAAAAAAAGGAGAGAAAGGTAGTTTGGCCAGCACCAGTCTCTTTTTCTTTCTTCACCTTGATGCCATTTTTTGGCATGGTGGAAAAAAGAAACTGCAGTTTTGGAATGTGAACCTTGTAAGCAGATTCCTTACAGTGGTCCATCAAAAGCCTTGTGAATTTAAATTTCCTCACTACGCCTTGAATTGAATATGCCTTGAATTGATGATGTCCAAGGATATGTAGCTGAACTATTGGCAAGTTGAGATGAATCCATTTTATGCAAGCTTCCATTTTTTTTTTCATTGCAAATGCCATAATAGAAAGGATGCAAATTCCTCCATTGCTTACTCCACTTTCAATTGAGTTACTTTACCGTTAGACAGGAGAGGAGAGAATGCAGTGGTGGGAATGAGAGGCAGGTGTAGACATGCATTTTGTCTATCCTCCCTTCCTTCCCCTTTCCAATAAAATAGGTCTAGAGAATGAGAAGTGTTTTCTTTAATGCAAAAATGAAAACCATATAATTACTTTGAGGGGTCAAAAAGCCAGAGAGCCTGATCCCAGCCTCTCATGTCAGGTAAGGGTAGCACATAGCTTCACACCCAACCTCAATTCTTAGATTTGGCTTGATACTGTTTGATATTTTGGTTCCTTGATAATATTGTATGTTAACCCCTTAACCAGGGAGTTTTTTTGTTGCATACTGGGAGGTGTTTTACAATGGAGCTTTTTTTCCAATATGTGCTTGTTAGCAGAGTATCTGTAAGTATTCATGTGCCATTGGCATCCACTCAGAATTTTTCAGACTATCTAAATGCAGTGATGCCTAAAGGCAGTGAATGCAGTACTAGAGCATAATATTTAGCACCAAAAGGGCAGTATTCTGGATAAGGGTCACCCCTCATGTCAGTGGCAACTTTATGCAGCAATGTTATTTGACATGATAAAAATATCGCACAGCCCTTATCACCACTGCTAGGGCATTCCATCTAATATCTTAAGACTTAGCTATGCAAAAATGATAACAAAAATAAAACAGTACAAGAAACAGATGCATTTCATCCAATTCCAGTAATTAAAAATATAAATACCAGTAAGGACTTATGCTTTTAGCACACCAGGAGACCAGTTCAACAAAGAAATTCAATTCTGTTGAAAATTTGTACTGACTGTTGATGAAAATAGAGATCAAATCAAACTGTAGATATTACCGCAGCTGAGTCTCAGATTCCAGGTACGGTTAAGTGCCTTTCGCTTTGTGAATGGACCAAATGGCTCCAGTCGCTGTGAAACCAAATTACAGTAGTGTGATGCGGGGGGAAAGAACTCTGCTGGACGTGATCTCGCCTTTCTCAACATGTCCTTTGAAAATGGAGATGACCCAACAAAGTTCAGCTCAATCATTTCATCATAAGGGTCTGAAACTTTCTGAAAATCTTCAAAAACATTTTTCAAATCTATTTTCAGTCTTTCCTTGGGAGGCAAGGAAACAGGCTTTATCACAGTAGATAAGCATCTGTTGGGGATTTCTTCATTTCGAGTCCATTCCAATGTCTTTTCACATGTGCTCATGACAAGAGGGATTTGGGGAAGAATTCCATCTCCAAAGATCTCTATGGCCAATGGATGTAAGAGATTCAGCACTCGACAGGAATGAGATTGGGAGAATGCTGCCAAGAGGTGTGCCCTGTATAGGGACACTAATGCATCCTGCAAGAAAAACCAGCCATGTCAACTTTCCAAAATTAACCTCAAGTAGGAACTTATTTTTATTTTGACAATGGAGGGAGTGAGGTATTGACAAACCTGAAGTGCTCCAAAGGTCTGGCTAACATCACTTGTTTCCCTGGGAACAGTTTCGTGAAGAGAAGGACTGCTGAGGGAAGCTTCACACTTGGGAAGGACATGAGAAAATAATGCATCCAAATTCCAGGCAATCTCCTTGATACCAAGAGCAATGATTCCTCGGACTGCTCCATAGAGAGAAGAATTTGGAAGGCTTGTGTTTGCCATGCTCTCATGCACAAACTTGCTTGATTTCTCATGGGCCTCTCTTGCCACTGACTCCTCCTCACTTCCAGCAAGCTGAGAAGAAAACAAAACAGCCTCCTTCCTACTTGTCAAGGTATAAGCACAATAGACCACTTTGGAGTAGAAATGATCTAATCCACCAGGTCATCAAAATTAAGTTGAATGGTTAACTATATAAGTCATTACTAGGGAAGTAACGATATTACATCAGTATCAATAGTAATCAACCTAATATTGGAAAATTAGATAAATAGCCACAATCTGATATTTTACAGTTAACACATGCTTGCATTAATATAGGATATTAAATGCCTGTTTTCTCAATATCAATGCAACATGCCTGTAAATGCCATGCATTTGCAAGCCTAACCAGTAAACATCAGGCATCACATTGACTGTTGTGAACCTGATGTTAGTATTATGGCTGTTAACATGGTAATTTTGAAATCATCTATACACTGGCCTGAACCTATATAACAATGATGCAATGACAAATAATGTAGTAAATAAGTGATAAGAATAATGGGGGGAAGGAAGGACAAAAGTATTGTCAGAAGAGAGACTGGAGCCTTGCAGAGAATCCTTTGCAATCCAGAGTCTATTCTGGGTTGCCATGGTATTATGCAGGAAGGAACAAAACCTACAGATACAGATGGGGGAGTTAGTGAAGATTTAATGTGGAACTGTAAGGGCAGAGGGATGATGGTAGAGAAGGTCTGGTCTCAAGTTTTCTCAACAATTGGTCATTATTGCTCACAGAGGTTCCAATAGACAACAAAAACTTACTGTAGCTAGAAAATTAGCAGCAGAGTCTCTGACAGTGAGGTGATGATTCAGCTGCCCTTTGGATGATGATGGATCAAGGAGAATGAATATAGTAGTTTCAACCAGTGATCCCACCTGTAGGAAGCATCATATCCATTTCAAGATAGTCAATTTATAGAGGACTATAACTAATTTTAACAATTAAAAAAATAAGTGATAACCATAAATGATGCTACCCCCATTGGCAACTCACAAGGGGAGAGAAGAGAAGGTTCACAGATGGATTTTGACAGAGGGCATGAAAGACCTCAAGGATACGCTCCAGTACAAAAGGATCTCCTTGGTATTTCTTTGCTGCTTTTTGTCCCAAATTGATCAAGCATGGGACCAGAGGCCCAAGTTTAGTATTCTTCCTTAGATCAGTCAGCAGCATCTAATGAACAAACAAGACTGAATATATTCTACAATTCTTTGCCACAGGTTCAGATCAAAAAACAATTCTGTGGTGGTATGACAGGAGATAAGTTCACTTTTTCACTTTTGGCAAAATTGAGCTGACATCACCATATTGAGTGCATAGTGATCCATCTTTTCGTCAAATGGGATAAGTCCAACTCCTGTTCCTTCAGGAAAAACTGCATTTGAAACAAGCTGGGCAAGCCCAGTTCAGTAGTGGGCCTCCTTTCATCTTAGGAAACCTGCATTTTGGCACGTAATTGAACAAAATTCCAACTCTTCCTGGTCTTTGGTCATTGAAAACATAATTTTTTAGTTACATTTGAAAAATACCCATGAAATGATGATGGGAGGATGGAGGGTTGTGTGTGCTTGGAACCACCCCCCACAAAGGATGGTAGGGAACCGACAGCTCTGCTTGGTGACACAACACCACGCTCAAAGCCTGGGTCGTACATGCATGCGCATTGTGATCCAGATCCTGGAGGACTCATGAGTACTCATGCCTTCCCCTCCATGACAAAATTTCAAATCCAAAATTTGCAATAAAAATGCCAATTTTGGTGCAAATTCACCACAAAACGAACTCTGCCTGTATTTTGTTCATATCTACCTGCTTGGCAATTTTTGATTGGTCCGGCCAATATTTTCTTAGTTATTGTCAGACAAGCAAAGTGTGACATACAGAAATGATGGGACCATTAGTGGTCTCTTTCACTTCAGGAAAGGAGGCCCACTAAAAAGGGGATATGTAGCATGCACTGTATGAATAGGAATTTAAACATCTTCCTCCTGAGGAATTGTGAAAATGGACATATTGCCTTCTGTCATACCACCACAGAATTTAGGCTTCATCCTCATCAGGAAATAAGGGATCCATTAGACCATTAGTGTCCAATAGGATTTCGATGCTAGCCAAACTTGTGGTGATCAGGTCACAATATCTGCCACATTACACAAAATACAGGGTGGGCCCAAAAAAACAGTTATCATTTTTGGGTAAGTTGTCAATCTCTTTGTAGGTTGCCAACTTTGATTAAAATTGGTAGGCTTATAAGGTGACACAATTGGAGTTTGTATATCAAATTTCAGCCATCTGTCTTTAAAATTATAGGAGTTGTAATTATTTTCTGATGACCAATGACAAAATGTGCTGTCAAAAAGATAGATACAACCTTGCGGCCAGGATGAAAGGGAAGTCCAATTCATAGACCTTCTATCCCTGCATGATGCTACAAAGGAAGATTGGGAGGCACTGCCTCAAAGGTTTATTCATCGAGCCATTGATCTGTGGTGTCCCAGACTATGGGCTTGCATTCAACATAATGGAGGGCACATTGAGCACCTTTTCAGTTGAAATGTATGTCCCTAAACCAAATTATGTGCTTTTGTGTTAGGCATTTGTGCATCTGTTTTTGTTCTGTTTGTTCTGTTTGTTCACTTGTTTGTTTTTGTCAGTTGTGAGAATATTTAATCTGAAAGAAAAAATGAACATTTACTTTTTTGGTGATGAAAAGTAAATTATATGCTAATCTCATAGCTTTTGGAATTTTTATTTGAAACTTGGCACACAAACCCTAATTGAGTCACCCTATGTGTATACCATATGTCATCAAAATTGGCCACATACAATCAGATTGACAACTTACCAAAAATTATCATTTGTTTTTTTTTGTTGGCCCACCCTGTATATGCACTGTTAACACATTCACGCCCAACAACTCCAGAACACTATGGGTTTAAAAACGTAATATTATGGTTCCTGGCGTCAATGGGTTAAGAAAACAAATGCACACAAACTTCTGAAATTAGGTTTGAGGTTGTAAACTGTCATTAATCAAGACTGATGCAAAGTAAAATGTGGCGAGTGGCAAACGTATTGGACACCATGGCATTAGATAATAATAAATCCTGAACATCCATTGAAAGGAGGACTCCAGGTCAACTAAATTCAAATCTTTCACATATTCCTCTAGCATCCACATACATGCATATCTATGACATACCTTTACATATTTAATTTCTCACTGGAAGTAATACATGCACAAAGCTTTCCTTATAGGCAATGAATCTTATGCCGAATTTACATTCAATCTAACACGACACAGTCTTTCCTGGGGAGTTCACCAATCAGGTTGGAAAGAAAGTCTTGCAACACTATGCAAATTTTTCAAAATTTTATAACTTTATTGAAATGCAATTTCAGTCTACAATGTAATGATCATTGTTGTCTATGACATGTTCCCAACGCACAGGTAACTGCTCGATGCCCTTTGCCCAGAACTCTGGCGATTGAGAAGCGAAGAAATGGCCGACATCATTTTCGAGCAGCACAGGTAACTGCTCGATGCCCTTTGCCCAGAACTCTGGCGATTGTGAAGCAAAGAAATGGCCGACATCATTTTCGAGCTGTGCTTGATCGTCGAAGGCCTTGTCCCGCAGGTGATTCTTGAGGGCCTGGAACAAGTGATAGTCGGAAGGGGCCAAGCCCGGAGAATACGCTGGATGGAGTAAAACTTCCCAGCCCAGTTCCGGAATCGTCTGGCGAGTCATCTTTGCAACACGTGGACGAGCGTTGTCATGCAGAAGGAGAACTTTGTCACGTTTGGGACGCTCTTTTTGAATGACGCCAGCCAACTTCTGAAGTCGAGCAGCGTAGACAACGGCAGTCATGGTGGTACTGGTTGGCAGGAGCTCATAGTACAACATTCCTTCTGAATCCCACCGACAGCAGAGAAGAACCTTCTTCTCGTGGAACCCTGGTTTCAGTTTGTGTGGTGGCAATTCTCCCTGTGGAAGCCACTGACTCTTGCGAGTATGCTTGACATAGAGGACCCAGCTCTCATCTCCAGTAACAATTTCCTTCAGAAGGTCCTTTCTGTGCGGACAAAGGAGCAGTGATTCACAGACACTGACACGGCTTGCTCAGAGTTGCTGAGCCGATGAGGGACCCATGTCGAGTAAACCTTCCAATAGCCGAGGTCGTTCAGATGGTTGCCGATGGCCACATGGGTGACTCCAAGTGTAGTCGCCAATTCGCGAGTGGTGGTGTTCGGCTTCGCATTGAGGGTGTTCCGCAGGGCTTCGTCATCGACTATAGATGGATGTCCTGAGCTTGGTCGATCTCCGAAGGTCGTGTCACCAGATTCCAAGTGTTTGAACCATCGAGACACCGTGGAATAGCGGACAACGTTGCCCTTGAATGCAGCGCAGGTGTTGTCCGCGGCAGCTCTCACAGTGTCCCTGGAAGAACTCGTAGTAGACAATGGGGCGAAGAGTTGCTTGTTCGATCGGAGCCATGGCTGCCAACTAATGGCAGAAGCCGCCTTATATACCCCAAGGGCAGAATCTCCGAGAACATTCCAGCGTATACAAATGCAAATCCTCACCCATCATCCCTTTGAAAATTTTTATAAAAGTTTTAGAAAGTGTTGCAAGACTTTCTTTCCAACCCAATAAGACATACTGCATACTTGGGCTTCAGGCTCAAGCAAAAGCAACTCTGCTTCATTGTGTAAGAGATAGGGGTTTGGTGCACACCAATATCTCCTGCCAAATAGTCTAATGTACAGCAAGAGGAAGCCATTGGAAGTATTCATACAACAGCAGTCACAACAATATGAAGTAAAACATGACTTGAGGAAGTTTTGTTAATTTTCCTACAAATATCAGCAGACAAATGTGAGGCTTCTTTTCATGAAGGAGATGGATTACAATGAAATTAATCAATTAGATTGATGAGAAAGGTTTTGCACACAACTGTTGGAGGATGCCCAAGCAACAGAGCTAGCTGTTATCAATGGATGGCAAAAATTAGAGTCCCAAATCTTCCTTCTTAAGCAAAGATTCCATTTGTCCCATTAAACCAGGGAAACATAAAGAGTGGCCTGCAGGCTGCATGCAGCCCATGAGGCAATCGGAAGAATAAGAAAATGGAGATGAAAGACAAGATCAGAGCCCACAGGGAGGTCTATATGTAGACCCCTATCAGGATTTAATGGGGATTGCAGAGCTCTTGGCATTTATTTTAATTGAGGAAATGTCAATTGAAAGGGTCTTTAAAGGTTTTTCTGCATAGCAGCACCTCGATCGATATTCTCATTTCTGTACTGGTGTATTGATTTTATTGAACACATACTTGAAGCCTCCCCTTCTGTCTATTTAATCGATGAACGATCCCTGAAACGGTGCGTAACTTCAACGTGTACGCTTGCTGCATTCTTCGCAAGAAATGCAAAATGGAGACAGAAAGCTTCAACTAAGAGGAACTTAATCGAACCCTTAAATCCTAAGTGTTCAATTAGGGCAGTGCTTCGCAACTGGTGTGCCGCGGTATTTTCAGAATTATAGAAAAAGAAAGAACATCACTGTGCTTATTATTCTCGAGCTACGACCGACAAATGTCGGTCGAATTGATTAGTGGGTGATGAAAATCACATTGACATTGCGAAATTTGGTTCGGTGTGCCGCGAGGATCGAGCAAACTCGAAAGTGTGCCGTGAAATAAAAAAGGTTGAGAAGAGGATTAGGGATCTTCGTCGCTAGACACCAGCGGATATTCCCTCAATGACAGGATGCATACGAGTTGACAGGACGCAAGAACTGCCACGTACGTGAGGTGCGGGATGAGATTGGACGGCGCTCCGATGGGGAATGGAGATCAATGTACAGTCAACGCTCAACATAACGAATTTTCTTTGCTAATAGTTTTTTTTTCCCGTTCCTGGCTGTTTGCCCATTCATGTTGAAAATTTTCTCTATAACGAAGTCACTTTTTCGTCGAAGGAACAAAATGGTTCCGTATTACGAAGTTCTTCGGCTATTTTCCAGTCAGAGGTCGAATGTTGAGCCTGAAACTTTTCAAACCTTGAGTGCTCTGCAAAGGCTCATTCAGGAAGGGGAGCGGCAGATAACCATTTGGGGCTTTGTTTCGATGAATAGAGAGCGTTGCTGACTTGTCAGATTTTCATTACACATAATTTACGTACCCATTTAGGTAAATACGTAACTCTTGAGAGCTGTACTTTTTTCCGTGAAACGAGAGAAATTTCCAATAACGAATTCATTCTCTCAATCTCGGAGTCAAATAAGGTCACTTGAAAAGCGACGCGAAGGGTACAATTAATATGTCAGCGGAAAGCCAGGAAACCCAAGGCCGACTGCCGACCGATTGATTAAAGAGCGAAGGAAGAGGTTTCCGAGGTGCAAGACGACGCTTAAAACTAATTTGGTGATGAGCATCTCGTGAAATATGCAATCAAATTCATAATCCCTTATTTATGCCGATGACAAGGTCGGCTCTGCATTACAGTCAGGCAAATTTGACTGGTGTCCCCACTCCTCACCTATCCTCCTTGTCGGAGAGAAATCCTGCAACCCCAGGATCGAGGGAATACGCAATACCGATATGTTTTTGCCTACGCACTCGGCATGAGAGAAAAAAACCACATTCTCGCCTCTGAACTTATCGACATGAGTCACTTGGAAATATCCTCCCAGTTCCGCTCGAAGGCTTCATCTTCCCGGTGTCTCTATTTTTTCGCAGTCATCATTTACCTTCTTTCAATCCATTACCAGCTCTCATCTTCCCGCTTTCTTTTCTCGTTACTTAATTCCCCCCATTATTCTTATCACTTATTTACTACATTATTTGTCATTGCATCATTGTTATATAGGTTCAGGCCAGTGTATAGATGATTTCAAAATTACCATGTTAACAGCCATAATACTAACATCAGGACCCCCTTTTTTTTTTTTTTTTTTATTTCCCCCCCCCCCCCCCCCCCGCTTTTCTTCTCGGTTATTTATTTTTATTTATATATATATATTTTTTTTATCCCTGACTTGCCTTCCTAATCGGTTGCTACTATTCCCGGTAACCTGGTTACCAGGTTACAGAACTTTTTCCACCCCTGGTCAAACTTTGCCTCATACCTTTTGACTGCTACGTTTGACTATGGTTTCCAAATGGATCTTATTCCCATTAAACAATAGAAACATGTCACCAGAACCAAAATTCGGTGGCAAATATAATAAAATATGATATATATTCACTTTCTATTTTTTGTGCATAACTGACATTATTTAGGGAAAAAAATTAATTATGCAGAAAAAGGGTTAAAATAATAAATCATTTCAAGACAGGAATCTTAAATGAATAATAAAAAAACTTTGTCAGAGTGTGCAAGATAGATGATAGTTAACAACCACTGAAGGTTGTAGATTCATCAGTGACAATGAAAACCATACTGGAAATTCTCTGACCAGATGTTCCTGCAACAAAGTCAAGATGTGCTTTCCAGATAAGGGTTAAGTGAATTAGGCAACTCACTTTCATAGAAGAGGCAGAAAGCCCACATACAACCATGCCAGTTACTGCTTCGTAATAGGAAGTATGCTCTGCTGAAAGAGCTTGGATACTTCCTTTTAAGAAATCTGGTTCTCCCTTCCCTCCATCCTTGCTAGGTGATGGGGAGCATCCAGGCTTCCTCATTATGCCATTCACTGCCATCCATGAGGCTATCAACAAGGAGAAAAGGGCTCCTTGTTTCTAGACTAGTAGTGAACTTAGTGAATTAGATGGGTCATTTCTCTTGAATTCCAACTTGAACCACATGGACTTAAACTTATAATTATAGAAGTGGAAAAAGCTTGCAAAAGTAATCTGGAAAGTATTTCAAATATTGTTAAATAGCAATTATATTTTCAGGTTTTGAAGTAATCAAATAAGCTAGCAATAAAACTTTTTATTTGCTATGAATAATGGCTTCCTGTGTAAACTTTTTTTTCACAGCCACTGACAGCACACCAGACCTACCTGATAAAAAACAACTTCCATGCCGATAGAAGGGTGTTGTATCAAGGGCCAAGGCAGGGAGGTTCACTGGTCTATCTTCTGTTACATATACTTCTGCATCCTTGATGTACTTGAATGGGATTGGCTCTCTTGAAGAATAACCAAAGAGAGGTGGGAAATCTCGCCAGTACAAAGCCTGATTCACATCTTCACTGGACAGCTTCCGACGTCTCGAATGGCGGAGAAACTGATTGCTTGTCTGTACCCAATAAAAATGAGTTTTTGTGCAATGAAGATGAAATATTGCTGAGATCCTGACATGTATTGAGGTGACAATGCCCATGCAGAAAACACAATAAAGTCAATGTTAGGCAAATTTTTGTACTTGTATCTTGCAAAAACATGCAAAATCACTTAAGAGGTCTTTGTACTTAACATACAAAATATTTTAGTCTTTGTCACAGCCTTATGACAATCAACAGTTGAAACAACTAACATGGAGAAGTTCTCGAAGTCTATAGCTGACATCTTCTGAGAGGGCCTGCAGTACAGATTCATCCACATCAGAGAAGCCATTTGCATCACAAATGAAATTTAGAGACTTTGGACCTATAAATGCATATCGCTTCTCAACATCCAAAGGAATCCCAGTTGTGGTCATTGCTGCTGTTGCAGCCATTCTCTGGCTCTCAGACCAACTGTCTTTCACTGGTGTCAGACTCATCTTCTTGGCTTTCCATTAGAGTCCCACAAGCCTATGAGAAAATATTATCTGATTCAATAAGCATAAGTTGCTAAATATAAGCTCTTCGTTATCAAGCAACACCCTTAACTCCTTAACCCTTTCACTGTTATACTGTTATACACACTTATATATCCACCATCCTTCATGTTATACAAATTGGGACTGTTTACCTGAAAACAATAGTTTATGTAAGAAAATGTCATGTCATTATAACTTTTGAAGAAAGTGGTAACATGCATAATAATGGTGAAACAACCAAGAAACAGAGAATGATCTGAGCCAGAGAACATACCCAGGCTACCACTGCACAAGCCTGAGTATGTACTTGGGCTAACAGCAAAAGGGTTAAAAAAGGCCCAATACTTAACAATAAATAAAAAGAAACAGCTTCATCACCCAGCAGAGCCCCACATTCCTATGTAAAATATTTGAAGTCCTGGTTCTGAGCATTTAGTAGTGGCAACAGTGGCAGTCAGAACTCAGGACTTTTTCCCTCTAAGCAGAGGAGACTGTCACATCCATATTCCCATAGGTCAAGTTGGCCAAAGGGCATATTTGCAACTATGAAATGTAGGCCTACAACCTATGAGTGAAACCTATAAAGAATCAGGATGACTATCATGCAGCATAGTATTAAGATCCAAGAGTAGCATGCAAATAATTACAAGGATGGGATCCCAGCCCTGACCCTCTCACCTTCCTGCTCCCCCTTGCATATGGGACAGGGCTTATACACCTAGGCCTAATTCATGTACATGGAGATTTCCAAAATGAACTGTCCTAACATCATGCATGTTATTTCTAAGGCAGTGTCTATTGGCCTGACTTAAGGGACAAGTTGGAAAGTCACCTGACTTGTGACATCTCAGTTGATGAGACCAATACTCTATAGAAGAGAGCTCGACCTCTAAGTTGTGGCTGAGCTGGTTTTCTGAAGAGGAAAAGAATTTGTAAGGTTAGGCCTAATTCCTAAAAGATGGTTATTCTAGAGTGATAGCTTTCATCATATTGCTTGTGCCATGTGCATCCTTTTCAGCAACTTCAACTGAAGAGTAACTATTAAGATGCAGGATTCTACAAAATCCATAAAATCTATATAGTTAAGGTATAGGGCTCACTCAAGGCCCTAGTTGTGTGTAGAAAAAAAGAGCCCTTATTGAGTGATTTCAAAATTTGATTTCACTTTACCCATGTTCCAGAATGAGACATCTTAAATTAGTCAAGTTGCATGTCATCTACTTCCTAACCTGACATGGTATAAGACCTTTTAAACAACCATGACATACTACAATAATGAAGAGCTGTCTAGTTTTGTGCTAATGATGTGAAAAAGATTGCTCAAAGTCTTCCCACAAGGCAAACGAAGCAGCTTCCTCTACCTTGCAAGACATGCCTGTGTTTGGTGGGCTGCAGGAAACTGTATCCTGTTAGTAGTGATGTTAGAGATCATTATTCCTAGCTCAGCCTTGAAGTCGGGGTCGAGCCAGCTAAGCCAATAGACACTGCCTATTTCTAAAGGTACATACAAGGAGGTACATTATATTTCCCGTGAAAGGCGTGGCGTTAGTCCTATGGAGTTCATTTTTAAGGTGGTAAGAGTTTCTTCTCTTTTTTGTGCAAATCACTACAACCTGTGCACCTGATGCTTGTCCTTGGTCAAAGCTAAGCTGATGGCAGAGATGCAACCAAAGCATCCTATGCCAAGCCTAGTCCTCGACGACTTCAAGATTCTTACAAAGAACTCGTAGATGATCACTGCTTAGGCCAACCTTTCCAGACTCTACTCAGCATCACCTTCACCAGTCTTAACCGACCAAAAACCGACACTACCACCTGAACAAACCTGACAACGGATAAGAAGAACCAATACGAGAATTACCGTGTTCTATGTGCCATGTGCCATCAACGTATGCCAGGGCTGCTCTTTCGCATTTCCCCTTCATTTGGATACAACTTCTACAGCACACATTCACGAAACATTCTTCACGAGTTTTTTTCTTCGTAAGAAGAGAAAAGTTTGTACGTGGGATTTACAAACCTCTGCTGCCACGAAGTTCTTACAAATAGTGTATTCATATATTTACGATACTTCGTAAAAACAGTTCATACGAACACTGAACAATTTCGGTATTCACAAAGCGCAAAAAGTTCGTATCTATATTCGTAAGTCTATAGTACATCCAAAAGTTTCTTAGAGAGATGTCACTGAAGTATACAAGACTACCCATACATGAGGCAATAATTGCATTAAGGATGATCCCAATGTTCTCCCTACTGTCATCATATCTACTCACTGGTACACCTCTCCTTTCCCCTTTACATAGAGATCGTTTGCTTGGAATATTCACCGTAACAGAGTTCTGTCGAAATTCGACATGAAAAGGTCATGTAACATAATACATATGTTGAATCGGGGATTTTTCTCTCAAAATAAGCAAGGAGCCAAGGAATCCATGGCCGAAAACCGGATCCTCTTTTGTCCCCTCTTCTCCATCACCTTCGCTTGTTTCCTCTTCTGAACGTTAGAAACTGATGCCGGGCTGACCATTAAAATCTGCGCTGTGTCGTGAATTGTCCTCCCCACTTTTTGCATATTCGGGATGGCCTGCTGTTCTTGAAGGGTCAAAGATTTTCCCCTACTCCGACGCGTTGACACGATGTCGAAGGGAGTAAAGTGAGCCCATAGGGCCATTGTTACCCCAAGTATGGGAAGTAATACCTACTACAGTGACATCTCTCTAAAAAATTTGTGGATGTACTTTACAAATGGTCCCGAAGTATCATGAGTGCCCACAATAACGTTGCCTAGGCAAGGTTTATTCACACTTGGCGGTTCACAGGATATATCCACACACTATTCACCATATTTTGGCTTTGAGGTCATTCGCGTTTCAGGAGATATTTCCCCTCATGTCATGAGGAGTGAGAATATTCGCCTTGGGGAGGTATTTCACGCCTCGGATAGCCAAAGGGTGGGTCCACCTTCCTATGACAATTGAAAAATCTCCGACCATATTGCCCTGACATGGCTTTAACTCACACTCTGTAATTGAGCAAGATAGCTTACCCAGCTAACAGTAACGTTGTGGGAACGTTCCCCCAGAGTCTATACATTGTCATCGACGTTGAAGGTCAAAGACCAACGTTGCCTGAATATTGTAGCAGTGTTATGGCATTATGATACCTTTTTAAATCACATTTTAAAATAATATTTATGGTAGTTTCATGGAATATGCATCGCCAAATAGGGAACAAATTTTTTTTTCCGCAAAGCGACAAAGAACCTATCCAGCGTTACTACCCTAGTAATACCAGATATTGGGTGAATGCTGGACCAACATTGGGCACGATGTCTTGGGCAAACTTGGGAAGTCAATATTGACTTCCCAAGTTTGCCATTCCATCATCGATGGAATATCAGACTGACGCGATGATCCAACGAGCCAAATTTCCACGGAGGAGTTAATTTAGAGGAAATGCTGAAGTTCTCCTCTTGCCCACTAGATGGAGGTATGGGTCTCGCTTTTCGCACAGTACACAAAAGTACACTTCCTTCTTTCCATGGAAACATCCCTCACAGGAGTGTTTATTACCTCACCATATGTTTTTCATTGCCTCATTATAACAATCAATAAAATCGGACACTTATTAATTTATTATTAAAAAATTCTGGACAGAAACATGGAGCCCAGGCAATAAATATGCTCATACTCCTTATGAGAAACCCTTGCATCACATTGATACATTTTCTCTACTCTCCGTACTTGAGAGGAAGAATGATTTTTCCACTCCCATCGAAGGAAAGGAGTATTTCTGTACTCCACAGAGCAGAAAGGTAAAGCCGTTCGCTGTCAAGTACTGAGATTAGTACTTTCAGAAAAATACGTACTTCATTGCCTTCATTATTGACTAATTATGGAATGCTACAAGGGTGGGAATGAGGGTTCAAATAAGTGACATTGCAATGTTGGTTCAACGTTCAGCCAGTGTTCAACTTCAAAGTTCATCTGAGTGTTCCGATAAGCGACATTGCAATAGTGACTTAATGTTAGCTGCAACTCCAACCAAACACTGGGAAGGTTCAAAATTAACGTTCATACAACGCTGAATGCCGGTTTCCCGAAAGTGATGGTGTTATTGATTGCACCCATGTTCCCATCAGAGCCCCTTCGGAGGGAGATGAACCTCTGTTAACTAGAACTTATCCTTTGGCATTTCTGAAACCTTGAGGTTGTTTGCTTTCCGATAAGACTCAGCTGTACGGTTCTTTAATGTGCGAGAATCGAAAGGACTCTATTCCCAATAATACGAGAAACTATCATGCCGGCATGCTTATTCCCTATATGATCCCTTAGCCAATACGCTATAGGGTGTAGAAAGGACCGACCTTTACTTATTAACTTTAAGAACCAGCAAAAGGTAACGTTAAGTCATCTATATATTTTAAGCCTCCTACAATATCCGATGCGAAATTCTTGACTTGTTCAGATTGGACATGAGAGAAGGTGCTAGGCTTGCGCGAAGCCGAAAAAGAGTGCATCTATTCATAAAGTGAGTCTGGACTTCGTCTTCGTATGAAGGCCTGTTTGGTTTTCCGAAAATGCGCATGCGAGAGTCAGACTGGAAGTCGTTCCGAGAAGAGCAAACGCACTTGAACTTCAGCGCTACAAGACCAACGTGGAGCTTAGAATTCCGCCTCTCTCGTTTCCCTTTCTCTATTCATCATGACTACTGCATTTTTACACTGGGGTCGGGCTGGCAGGTAGATAAAATATTGGATGTAGGACCATGATTTAATGGATTAGGGCCGTATTCACGTCTCTTCCTTAGCTAAGGGATCTCTTAAGAGTTAGGGGACCCCTAGCTAGGGGTTCCCTAAAAGATGATGACTGAAAAGGCTCGAAAATAAGGGTCCCCTAGGGGTACCGTATTCACGTTCTTCCCTTAGCTTGGGAATTCTTAAACGCGCCCCTAAGAGATATAGGAAGTTGTAAAGAAGTTAGGGGAGCCTTCAGCCGCTCTTAGCAGGTTCCTGCGAATTGCAATCTTCCGGAGAGTTGCATTCCCTCGTCAGGTTCATGTCTTTGCATTTGGATATTGATATTGGATTCAGAGAATTATTTTACCTGTTCATATAGATCAGTGGTCCTCAAACTTTTTTAGGCAAGGGCCTCACGGACACTTTACTCCACCTTGAGTGGGCCGCACTTATAACGTTAGTAAACCTGGAGTGAGCCGCATTAAAAAAGATCCACAATTTCTGCATGGGTGACCCTTTATCAGCCCATCGACCTCTTGGTCAAGCTACTTAAAATGGGGAGGGAAAAAAACTGCCTATTCCTGTCGCATCCACACACACTTTCAACTCTCTTTTAGTCACAAAAATTGCCACTACTCAGGGCTCGTGTAAACACATCGGTTCTAGGTGCTAATTTGTCACAAGTTGCATTTTCGATAAATACTCCTTTTTTCTCATAAACTTCACCATTTACTTGCGAGGTAAGACACTTTTCCCTGCAGTACAGAGATGCTCCGATTTTCAGGCAAGTTCAGCAGGTGCACACCTAAATACATAAGCATCTAATTATAAACATGTATTATAAGTATCTGAATATCTAAACAATGACTAAAATTGTCAGTTTACAGCAAAGGATTCCAAATCTGGGATTTAAAAAATTGTTCATCGCGATCATTAATGAGTGCCGATAAAACGGCGAAATGTGAAAAAGTCAATTATTAGTTCAGCTTAGTGGGCCGCTTTTTGAATACCGCTGATATAGGTCATGCTCTTGTTGTATTTTATCATTTTATTGGCACTCCTGTCATGCATGTTCCATCAATGATCATCGATGCAGCATTGATGTAAAAATACAACTGTAATTTTAAAATTGAATATAAATAATTTGTTTTGCATTACCGTTGAGTACCCGCTTGGGCCTAGGCCGGTACTCAAGCTAATGGGAAGAAAATAATTGCAATTGAATCTTTTAGACGAAACAATGAGAGTTCATGAGATCAACTACAATTTTTTTCATACGAGTAGGACACATTTTCATTTGACCTTGGCACTAATTCATGGCAAATACTATAACTGGGTATCATAGTCATCAAAAAGTGTCAGACTCAAGAGAAAAAAAGCAACAATCAATTTATGTGCAGAGATCCCTTGACTTCTGTGTGTGACGAGGAGGCCACAAAGATGAAAGCATTCCAGCGCATGCGCCCTCTCCTCCATCTTCCAAAAAGATTCCTTAGCCAAGGGCCCCCTAACAGACCAACGAGAATACCATTTTTAGGGAAATCCTTACCTAGGGTTCCCCTAACTGTTACGATATACTGTTCCTGGGAGAGTGACGTAAATATGGGCCTTATTGCAAACTCTGTATTGACAGCGGTTGATCTGTTATTATTTTAAAAGAACGTCATCAAAACTATATCCAGCAAAAGGCAAGCCAAAGACTGAATTTTATTGCACTAAATGTTTGGTATGACCTGCATGGCTTGCAAACAGCAGAACGAGGGCGTCTCCTCCGCTGAACTACCAGCAAGCGCTCCGATCCACTGCAATGATTTCCAACTTCTTTGAAATATGACTAATAGCCTTGACTCGCCACGAAGCATTTCAATGAAATCCCACAACGCTCTTGAAAACTTACCAGCATAGGCTCAGTGCAATTTTCTTGGTAATAGCTATAGTCAGAGCAGAGATTTTTTCTCAAATTTGGAGTAGGAGATATAGGGTGGATTTTTGAACAGAGCACTATCTGATAATGCAGCTTTATTTACCAGATTTATCATGCATTTTCTCTGAAATAAAGCTGCATTATCGGATAGTACTCTGTTCAAAAATCCACCCATAGTTTTTTTCCGTGACTTCTATATAGCAGCAGCGAGTTTCACTCGACGACATCATCCTTCAAGTGGACAACGTGAATAAAAGGACTATTGGATATTTAGGGGGGATTTCCATCCTTAGATGCTCTCAAAAGTGACGAAATGCCATGAGAAAAATCTATTAATGATGTGCTGTTGGAGATAGAGTGCATTTAACACGCAAGCTTCTAGAGGGAAAACTGGAAGCTCCCCTATCTTCTACTACTAGAGTTGAGTTTAAGGATCCCTTAGCTAGGGGAGGAACGTGAATACGGAACATCTAGGGGATCCCTAAGTTTCTTGAGTTAGGGGTCCCTTAACGGTTAGGGGAGCGACGTGAATACGGGCCTTAGTCCGTTAGTTGGTGTGACGTCAGCGAAGAAAAAAACTAAAAGTGCCGATTCGTTAGTCAATTTGGGGCATTTTTCATACCAACTGCGACCAACGGTATCTTTAGTTGTTGCGTGGTGTTATCGTTCACGAGCTCACACTCAAGATCTTGGGAAACTAGGGAAAACCAAGCTGTGACCGACAACAGACCAACATCACTGCAAGTGCACTGGGCCTTATTCGCCGCAGTGGCGAGAGGCCAATTACCGACCGGCCGCTTATGACCGATCAATCGTTCTATGAGCCTCCTGTCCTTCCTGTGTCCTTGGTGACTGTGAGCACCATGATTCATTTTCGAGTCTTGCAAAACTGGAAAGCTTGGAAACTGTCCCCTATGCTCTTACGCGTTGCCACTAGCCTTTAGGCTTTGCTTGGGTTGTTGTCTTGCCGGGGGGAGGAGGGGCGCATGCGCTGGAATGCTTTCATCTTTGTGGCCTCCTCGTCACACACAGAAGTCAAGGGATCTCTAGGTGGGGGGGGGGGGGTGGGTGGGGGGGGGGGGGGGGGGGGGGGGGGGGGGAAGGGAAAAGATTTCGATGAAAACCATGCCCAAATAAGAGTGTGAATAGTTTGAGGTCACGCTAACACCATTTTGAATTGGAGAGGACATAATGCGCGTCATACCTTTACTCTGCTTCAAGGTAAGGAATAAGTGAAAGATTAGGAGAGTGCGCAAACACGGAAAGATTCCAGAAAATGTATTGATGGACTGCAAAAAGTGAGTGACGGAATCAGATCAGATTTGCTTGCATTACTTTTAGTATGAGTTTGTATCACTTATTGTATTTCATGGTAAATTTTCGTCCTCCCCTCTGGATTTGTTCTTTTTATTATAAATGCAACATGATCCCCATTCGTGGGGAATCATTGACCTCAGCGGCAACTCAGGAATTAAATTAATTAGATCTCTTGCAGTTTCTTTTTCATCCGCGAGTATTGGCATATACGATACATATTATTCTTTATAATACATATGGAATTTTATTACTGCAACCGCAAGGGTATGGGAGAAAGAAAGAACCTAAGACGCACGCAAATGATACAATGATTCAATTTTCTGGTTAAAAATCTTACTTGAGTTTTTTTTCCAAGCGAATCGCTGAGCAAGAATTTTTTCCGATGTTCCCACGTCCGAGGGGACTGCTTTAACTAATTCCTCATTTCTTACTTTCTTGATGCCCCTGGGAAGGAAGAGCTGCGTCAGGGAACAGAAGTCGAAATCGACCATCCTGGAGTTCTACTTCTCGGATCCCGTAAACGGAATTCCGCATACAAATTCTATTTCCGAGTCGTGAAGCCTACCAGGATCGTGTGCATCGACCAAAGTAAGAGCTCATGAGGTGTTTCATGGTCGGTTATAGTACTGAAATTATGGTAAAGGAGCTGATAGGCATAAAATTGCCTGAAGCTCAAAGGCGGTTGAATGAATTTGCTAATGATGTTAGAGAATCACAATAAGCTAGAAGAGGTAATTAAAAGTCCCTTTGTAGATGAAAGGGAGAAGAGTTGAACTACTCTGAGCTACCGCAACCTATACTTTCATCGTTGAAGAATTGTTGGCCATTCAATAATATGCATACAGGCTCGGGTGTCCTCCATAGTGCTAGGACGAAGCCATAAGTCTTCTCGCCCATTTCATTGTTCCACAAGAAAAGTTCTACATGCTTCAGTAGCATAATACATATGCACAAGTATATGTTGTTCTTACGCTTATTTTCTACATGATCTCCGCGTTAGTATCATTCCTCTCCTCGTTGAAGAAGCCACTGACGTACTACACGCTGCACGATCTGGTCATTTGCAAACCCGGCTGATTCTTAATGGGGATGAATTAAATTAAAATCCGAAAGCGTCAAATGAGAACTGTAAACAGGATGTACAGTAGAACAGTCCACTGCTGTTCACTGATGGATACCACTGTGGTAGCCATTGTGAGTAGCCTGGTTTCGTCACACAAGATAATGCACTTTGCGACAAATCGAGAAGCTTCATCAGGCATCAGCTGGTATCTGTCTTTTGGGATATACGTTGTCGTCTTCGTGAATTGTATGACAAAGGATGCTTCCATTAATGGCATTGAGTATGTTGACATTTAAAAATGCACTACTGAACGTCCTAATTTGCTTCAAGAAAATGCGATACAGTTGCATAAGATAGCCAGGGCAACCGCATCAGCCACCGCAGAGACATTCATCGGCGAACTGTGTTTCTCCATCCTGCTGACAGTTCTGATTTGGAAGTCTAAGAGTTCCACATTTGGCGTTCCATGAAGAAACACCCGAATGGAACTCGGTTTGCAAATGATCAGGCTGTGCGGATGTGTAATACGCCAGTGGCTTCGTTAACATTTGGAGGAATCATACCAACGCAGAATATAGGCTCCTCGACATACCCAGGGAGAGTGCGTTAACCTAGAGTAGATTATTTGGGAATATATGAGCAATGCAACATCTTTTTTATCATGTAACTGAAGCCTACATGCTTCAGTTACATGATATGTAAGCATCTGCATCCTGCACATGTTGCATTACTCAAGGAGTATCCAATAATAACAAGACTTATGGCGTCGCCCTTACATACAAATGAGTAACCCGCCTATCATGCAGGAAATTGGAGTTCGATTCCCTGCCACGAAGGATTTTTTTCACTTTCCGCACTCTTCCCAGTGAAGGAAAGAATGAAAAACCGACTGACCAAAGTCAGAGCGCAAATTGCATCCTATGAGCCGACACCATTGACTGGTACATGAAGTTCATACCTTAGAAAAACACTCAATGGGAGAAAAAAAAAGTTAAAATTTCAGCAAAATATCTTCAGTAGTTGACTGACAACGGTCGCTGATCGGGAACAAGAACCTTTGAATTTATTCTCGAATAGGGTAACAAAGAAAGCAGAGGAAAATCATTATGATAAAAAGAATAAGCCTATCACAGATCAGATGAGAAGAGATTTGATGTGTGACTCGGGATCACTTTTTTCCATTCAGTGCTGAAAAAATCACCTAGCAGGTGAGAAGGACAAAGAAGTGTGATTAGGTCTGAGCTGAGGGATCGAAGATCCCTGTTCAAAACTCGACCATTGGGACATCTCGAGGCTCTGAAACATTAATATAATGAATTGGATTGTGACAGTATGGAAAGAATGGAAGTAAAAAAAATAATAATAAACCTGGCGAGAGGGATGAAGCCAGATGGGAAGAGAAACGCCCAAGCTCCCTGGATAAGTGAGTCGTCCAGGATCCGTGACCAGAATTTCTTTCCCTGATGACGTCCCTCCTCCTCCTCCTCCTCCTCCCGCTGTAGCCAAAGGGGGGGGGGGGAGAAAAAAGAACATTTACTGACTCTTTTATTGCGTCATCGAAGGAACCAAAAAAAAAGCTACGGCCAAGATTGGTAATAAATAATGTTGCATTTTCCTAATTCTTGAAACGAATGAGCTAAGTCTAATTCAAGACCAACGCTTACCCATACTCTATCATGAAAGCACACCTCTCGCTTTTCACCAGCCAAGTTGTCTACAAGAATATTAATAGGAACAGAAAATGAGGATGAAAATCAATTGATAACGTGGGAATTTTCCGTCCCTCCACCCTCCTGCAGTCACGCACACTGCACTCAAACGAAATCCTCCAGGAATGCACCCAGCAAACAAACGAACATTCAATCAGCGTTGTATGAATGTTAAATTTGAACCTTCCTACTGTTGTGATGGCGTTGCATCTAACATTAAGTCAATATTTCAACATCGCTTATCGGAATACTCAGATGAACGTTGAAATTCAGCACTGGCTGAACGTTGGGCCAACATTGCAATGTCACTTATAGGAATGCTCACTCCGACCCTTGTAGCACCCTAAAAATGGGCCCACAACATTCGGCAATGGAATCTATGTATTGTTCTGGAAGTACTAATTTTTGTCCTTTACAGGGAAAGATCACCTTTTCCTGCTTTGCTGAACATTCAAATCCACTTATCCTCCCCTAGGGGCAAAATGACAATTCTGCCCCCAACGAAGAGGAAAGGGAGATCAGACTCAATGTACATGATCGAGTCTTGACACTCTCTTTCCTATTAAAAGTAAAGATGCATGCAAGGGGTTCTCATAAGGAGGATGAGCTTGTTTATCGCCTGGGCTCCATGGTTCGGTCTCGAATATGGGAATAACAAATGATTAAGTGTCTGATTTTATTGATTGCTATAATGAGACTAGGAGAGACATATCGTGAGGTACTAAACATTCCTGTGAGGGATGATCCCATGGAAAGAGGGAAGTGAACTTTTGTCTACTGTTCGATAAGCAGAACACATGCCTCCATATAGTGGCCAAGAGGAGAACTTCAGCCCTTCCACAAATAAAACTTCCCCCGTGCAACTTGGGCACATTGGATCATCGCGTCAGTCTGATATTGTATCGATGAGGGAATGGCAATATAGGGAAGCCAATATTTAGGCAATATTTAGTCAGTATTGGCAATAATGGCAAGATATATAGACATCGTGGCCAATGTTGGTCCAGCATTGAGCCAATATCTGATGTTCCTGGGGTAGTAACACTGGATAGGTTCTTGATCGTTTCTTGCAACAAAAAAAAACTGTATTCCCTATTTAGCGATGCATGCTCCATGATACTACCATAAATATTATTCAAAAATGCGATTTAAGAAAGTATCATACTGCCATAACACTGCTATAATATGCACGCAACGTTGGACTTGACCTTCAACGTCGATGACATTGTAATGACACTAGGCGAACGTTCCCACAACGGTACTATGTTTGCTGGGTTATGTGTTGCCATGTTTGAAACTCCCAACGATGTTCCTAGTATTAGGAACCATGATGAAGAATTAATAACATTACAACACTGTCAACCGCTTGTCATTGGGACGAAAATTGATTATACAATAACCGAGTTATACACGAGGTATAAATACACGTATTATGGGCTGTAGGTTGGTACCAAGCATCATGCACCATTCGTTACTATAACTGAGGCCGTCATAAACCACTTCGGCTGTGCCTACGATTTCTCGTTTCTATTAACAGATCTTGACCTTGGAATATAGTCTTGACGGACCTTGAACGTGATGCAGAATGAGGTCTGGATTCTCTTCGTCTGTCATAAGAGAATGCTTGGATGGGGAAGAGGATGGCGGCCGGTTCTGGGGAGGAGCTGGAGGCGTGGGAGGGGTACTACTTCCAGTCCCACGCGAACTTCCTCGTCTCCTTAGTAGCCCGAGGATGACGAGGGCGACGAGGAGAAGACCACCGACCACCCCTAAGAGAATCGCCAGCACCGGCGCCAGGGGGATCCCTCGCACCAACCCTGTAATCGACCTCAAACTTCATTTTGATCTCGGCCAGTCCCTTCCACGGTGGATGCGACTCGACGCACTGACCTTGACCGGTGGTCCTCTTGGCCGCCATGGAAGGGATGGTGGCCGAAAGCGAGACGGTGGGACTCCGTCCTTTGTCGTTGAAAGAGAAGATGGAGAGACGAAGACCCCGACCACCTTCAAGTCCCTGGATTCGGAATACCGGCTCCTTCGGCGAACTCAGGTTATTCAGTAATTCCCCGGTCTCCTCGTCGTGAACTACGAGGAGGAATTGCTGCGGTAATCCCCCATCGAACCCCACGTCGCAATCCACTTCCAGAGAATCCGGGGAGGAATTCATCAACGTGCAGTTCTGTGGCGGGTCCGGTATCCCTGCAAGAATTTTAATATCCGTTTTAAATTAAGTTCTCTTTCTACACACCTCGCGCTATCCAGCGTGCAGCGCATTCTCTGCACGTACAGGAAAGGAATGGAAAACACTGGTGGAATTTAAATTGTTTGTTTGCCCACCCGAATTGCCGGAAAGTGCCATGAAGGAAATGGCGTAGCAGGCAATGCAATAAAGAGGAGAGGGAGTGTAGTTGCATGGAAGCTACGTTAAACACAAGGAAAGAGAGAACAAAAGAACCGCACTTCCATCGCTCATTTCTCGTGTCATGGCTAAATGAAAGAATGACACCAACTTTGAACGATGTTCAACAGAAATGATCTGAAAAGGCCTTCTTGCGATGTGGTATCGTATCAGTAGGCACCGATGATCCCAAGTCAAGCTGTCCCAACGTGTGAGGATAAAAAGGACAAAAGCATTAGGGATTGTCAACAATGGAGTTTACGCTTCCTCCAGATTTCAATAGCTTCTCTTCATGGTTTGTCAACACAGCTACGGTATATAGGATGATTCAAAATAAGCGCTCCACCATTTCCTATGAGAGAAAGTAAGATTCGTATATTCGAGCAAAAATAACAAGATTCATAAACTCTTGATATTGGACACATACAAGGTGTTGAGAAGATTATCTGGGTTTTTCTCTGAAAAATTCTTTGAGCTGTGCATTGTCCTGTTACAAAGTACACAGGTGGATCATTACACCTCAAATGCAGTAATGGTGTATGCTCCATCACCTCAAAAGTCAATAAGAGTAGTTTCCCTAATTTTGGCCTCAAACCGATTTGGACTAGATTCATACTTTTTAAATTGGCTTCTAGACCAAATCTTTTGAAAGATACAAAGATACTCTCAGATACAACGGATATTTGGCAGAGAGGTTTATGTATAGTTTAAAGGCTAAAAAAAAACTTTTTTTTTCCCTACCTAAAAAGTGCCATAGCACGAAGATTGGGGGCCCTCCGATTAAAAGTAACGCCCTCTATCGGCATACAGCTCCATCTTGCAGATGTACAAAATCCTCTGACTCATGAACTTCTCTGTCAAGTATCAGCTGGATCCAACTGTCTCTTGAAAAGTTATAACCAATTAAAATAAGGTGGTGACATAACAACCGTGTAGTCAGGAATTTAGCATTTGAGGGTTGGGGGCCAATTTTGTGCCCCCAACCACCAACCCCTCACCCTATCAAGTTAAAACTCACTTTTCTTGGCCCCCGCTCGAAGTACAGATATATGTTTTTTTTTGTCTGCGGGCTATTCTCGAAATAATCCGATCGTTTGCCAAATTTCATTGAATTCTGAGACGGTCGAGCACAGATCATTACCACACTTAAGGTGGAAAGATCCACATCTAGGCACCTGTAATTCACCTCTAAATGAGCACTGCATGACTTAGGCAGGGGTGCTGAAAAAAAGCTGACATGCATCTCAACACCTTGTAGCTGTTCAACGTCGATCGCGTAGTCAATGTAAATTATATATATATATATATTTTAAATGAAACTCTTTCTCCAATAGAAAACGGTAGAGCGTTTATTTTGAATCACCCTATATATTTATTTTGAGTGTAAATTATCACACGCTTTACCTCTCAGATTTGGCTTTTTATTAGCGGAATCCCTCCGAATGCCAAGTATAAAAGCCAAGTGATGCCGAATTTAAAAACTGGTATCATGTGGAGCTCAGAGACGTAGCCATAAAACCTTTTAGGGGGGTGCCCTGCGGCTTTTTTCCGGCTCATTGTCTGCTAAAGCGGGTGGGGGAGGGTGAATGGTTGAGAAGGATGAGCAATTTTCCTTAAGCTCCTTCCTTTTTCTCTCCCACTTTGGGGGCACACTATTCTTGTTTGTTTTGTTTTGTTTTTTTTTCAAATTTATTTTCTCATTCTTCCTGAGCCCTTTCTGGGCAAAATTGAGAGGCTTTGTTGTATTATTAGCGTGAAAGCAAGAATGGGAGGGTCAAGAAATTCTCGGAATTCGAGAGCTCAAGTATCAGATTTGACACAAATATATATAATACCGCTATGTTCATGTAAGTTAATTGGAACCATTACCAAGTCGGTATTTCGGTATGGCTTGACGCAACTGAAATTATTCGGAACTGTGGAAAGTTGCCCGACGAAATTCGGCATAGGCTGAGTACGGGCATACATGTGAGTTTATTTATTTAAATAAATAAAAAACTACAGCTAAGGCTACCGTGAATTTTAAAGCGCGAATGAAGCCAATGCATGCAAAATCTTTGTTTCCCAAAAGCCTGCTAGACTGGCGGCCTCTTTTGCTGCTGTCTCTCCGTATCCTGTCATTTCTGGCGGGATACAATTCCCTGAGCGTCAAGGAAATCTCATTTGACTTCGTGACATGCTTCATGAAATCTTATTCCATTTCAGTATGTGTCGAGACTCCCTGGATACCCTCTTCCCCCTGGCTACGTCCCTGATAGAGCTCCATTTTAATCAAGTTCTAATAACCATCCAATTCATTAGGATCTTAGCCAGGCATAAATTGCAATAAATTCCATGAACCGACACTGTGGAAAATGTAATGCGTTACAGGTAACAGTTACCGACATGTAACCATTTACAGTAACGACGTTATTTCTAGTCTTATGCGTCAATACCGAACCTTGAGTAGAACCCAAGCCCTCATTTTCCTCTTTCCCCTTGTTTCTATAGAGTCCCTTTCATCAACCCTAGGCGGAGTGCGTAGCAAATGGTGTGGAAATGTTTTGCGTATGTGGATGTGCGATACTCACGGACAGGGATGACGTGAAAGATGCAGGGAATTTGCTGAGTTCCGAGTTTGTTGCTTGACCAGCATTGAAGGGACCCGTAGTCCAGCTCCGTCATCGGGATATATCGCAAGACACTCTCTTCCTTTGAATGAAAAGAGAGGGAAAAGACGATATAAAGAGGTTTTCTTGACATCATCAATTTCAATAATAATGTGAAACACATTTAGACTCGATTGCTCCGTGGGATCGGCACTTCGGAAATGGATTCTCTATCATCGTGGTTGGGGCTTCTCTTTATGGGAGCACTGTATTGGCTTTGAAATTCGAACTCCCTCAAAACCATAATTTCCGGTATCGTATTTACAGCACTCGTACATGGGGGAATGGACGACATGTAACCTTACCTGCCCACTGGTGTATCGTTCCTGGGGGATATCCACGAGATCCGAGGTGTTGTTGAAAGTCCATTTGAAGCTAGTAGGAGGAGGATGGCCAAAGACTTGGCACTTCACACTGGCTTCTTCTCTTCGACTCAATCGATATACTGTGCGATCCTGGTTCTCTCGACACACCGGAGCATCTGTAGAGGACAATAACCCCCCCTGAATTGTAATAAAAACGTTCGGGGGAAACAAATGATAAGCATGCCAGTTGCTTGCTGACGTGATGTCCTTTGATCCCATCATCAATCCGGATCGTGATGAGTTTTTTTAATATCAAAGTCGGGTGTTCTCAAAAGAAAGCAGGGAGGGGGGAAAATTTCAATAATGGGTTCTTAGAAAAATTGCCACTTTCATCTCGGAAGATCGTCGGAAAAAAAGGATTCGAGTTTCAATGCCGGAGAGCGCCTTTTTCAGGAATATGCAATGAGGAGGGATTCGATGGCCAACTCCGACCATGTACAGAGAAAAGGGGAATCGGGGCAAGGGTGATCGGCTTACACTTGACATTGAGATATAGAGGTGGACTGGTGGTTGCATTGAGGATATTGGAAGCGGAGCAACGATATTCCCCTCCACTTTCTCTGCGAACATTTTGTAGCACGAGGCTGTAATTGCTCAAGATCACTCCTTTGCTCACGTTCTGCACCAGACTCACTCCCTAGGTACAGAACAACTCATGTCAAGTCGAGGGACTTGGGGTTCACAATCCACGTCTCTGGACTTAGAAAATAAATCCGCCATTTCTCATTTCTGCTGTACAACATCCCGCATGGGATTGGTCCAATTGAAGACGGTTCATCGAATTCCAATTAGCTCGATGCGATGCATTAGGGCAGATATCTTTCACCGTCAAGAAGAAGAAAGACTGTACATAGGTCGTGCACTTCTAATGACAGGTTTGCACCAACTGCACTCAGTGCATTCACACAGCATGGAAGTCTTGCACTGCATCGCCGCCATTGGCATTCTTAAAGTGGATTTGGACCCACTGAGGGAGACAGTGATGGGGGTGGGGGTAAAACAAGGAGATGAGCCATGCTATGCATTCCCTACAGCTATTATGACCACATCGGGAGGTTCCTCATTTCACCAAGGCAGATCCCATTATTTATTTCTATTTTTTCTTTTTACTGTGACAGGTAGGAAGGTCCTGGGACACTTCGATGGCATGCATCTTTTACACAAAAAAAAAGGCAATGAAAAATTCATGGCGTATAGAGCTCAAAAACCCTGCTCCCACGAGTCAACTGCCCTTAAATTGAGGAGAAACCTTTCTTCTTGGCCAGCGGAACTCACGTTGTGAGTCCAGGAGAGGATGTGAGCTGGAGGCGAGGCGTGGACAATGCATTCCAGGTATACATCTTTCCCTTCTTCGATTCCATCCTTTCCGTCGAGTCCCAGGGCCAATGACGCACCCCACCTCAGGGACACATCTGGCGCATCTTCATCGAGACGAGACCGATCAGACGTCGATGGATCCACGGCGTCAGAATCAAGAGATTCCTTCAACTCACAATGAACGTTGAGGATGAAAGCGTCCGAAAGGACGAGATTTGGAAAATGGGGATTTCTGGCTGTGCACGACAGGAGTTTCCCAGAGTCCTCTTTCCTCACCCTCAGACGCAACTCGCTCAACGTCCTGTTCCCCACCTCTGTCGTCTACAATTGGGCATGGACAGAATTCCTCGAATATTCCAGAATGGTCGAGTCGACTGGTGGGGTTTAAATTTCTTGACATAACACAACTCGGAGGGCATCGCGTTTACAAGCAGCAAATGATCGAGTATTGCTAGGTAATGACGGACAAGGGGTCGTAAAGGTATAAATAATGAGAAGCAAAGGCTGTTCATGACGCGGGGGGAAAAATAATTATGGGGTCTCTCTCCCATATTAAGAACCGGGGGGTCTCCATATAAAGCAGCAGCGAATCTATATCATATCGAATGGGAAATGTGTACTTACCGTTGCAGTCAGATTCTTATCGGCCAGGGTCCAATTAATATAAGCAGAAGGCAGCGATCCCCACGTCTCGCACTCCAGTTTCGTCTCCACCGCGGCCGATAGGAAATTCGGCTTCTCGCGAATTTCCACTCGTCTTGGCTTCACTGATTCAGTCGATCGATGTACGATGGATTGGAGGGGGGAGATGGAATGAGGAAATGTGAGAATGAAGATAAAACGTACGGTTCAGTTTGATGATGATGGAGGTGGAGGTTGGGGGAGCGAGTTCGTGGTTCCAGGCCTGGCAAGTCAGGTTCCCGCCTACGTCTGACGGCGTCAACGGTCCAAGGCTGAGGACATTCCTCACTTCGACCCCCTGAACTCTGTCCTCTTGGAACACTTCCCACGTGCCGTCTATGACGACGTCTCCCCTGAACCATCTCAGTTGTGGCGAGGGATCACCTGCACATACGGTATACTTCAGACAGATACATTCTTATGTACTTCAGAGAAGGATCCCTTTTGACAGACCGTAAGATGGGGGGTGGGGTAAAGGTAGCAATCCAATCGGGTAATTGTAACACTTCTTCATCATTCAACAAGTACATAATATAAAGCTTTCTCGTTTTGTGCATACATCATGCCACTCTTCCACTTTGATATAAAATCTTTTGAGCTTTTGCACGTTGGGCTCAAAATGCGTTAACTTCAGTTTCAGGAATATGAATATAGATAAAACTATGCACCAAAATCCTTACTCTTCGACTGAAATTTCGTTTTTCTTCTCAACGAATGATATTAGAAACTTGAAAACGCTAACATCTGACCCTTTCATCTCACCTCAAACTTTTGATTAGCAAAGTGATTCCCTAATTTGTTGTTTGCTGACGTGACAGGACCTAAGTCCTGTTACGTCATCTGTTGAGTGCAATCTAATCATCGCCCACGGAAAGTCGGATCATGTGGTAAACATAACCTTAATCATGGAATACCGTCGACTCCGCATAATAACTCACGGGACCAGCGAAATTTATTCTATAATCCGGAGTATTCCAATAACTGAAACTATCGTACTGTACTTCTTTTTCTTCATTCTTCAGGAAATGTTTTATATTGATATAGTACAGGACCCGTTTTTGCGTCTTCCTCAGTAATTTAAGAATGCTTTTTGCTAGGGTGGTACCGATGGTCCCCTTTGACCGGTGGGCCAATGGCCGATTTTTATTCCATGACCATCGGCTGGTGTCGGTGCCGATTGTTGTCTGAAAATTGAGAAGTAACATGAAAATGCATAATAATTCATATGGGCTTCTTTGGAAACCATGAGATGCTTCTCGGGGAACCCCCTAAAAACGAACGAGGCCATATTTGTTACTGTCTGTCTGTGTCCGTCAGTGGTTAGCTTGTTACCTATTGCTGCTGTCATGAACGTTTAACGACAATCCTCTAGCAAATGCATAACATAAAAGGAGGGACTATGATTTCCCGTTCTTCAGCGCTATTTTCCTCCGCCAGTTCTTAGAATTGGGCTGAAATATAATCCGATCGATATTTTTTGGGTTCACATGTTCGCTCTAATTTTTTTCCCAAAAGTTTAGCCTCTTCTTTAGACACCGGCATCGGCAACTTGCAAACCGGTCGATGGCCGATGACGCCGATAGTGCAACACCGGCGGCCGATTCCGGTGGTACCCGATATATCGGTATAGCCCTACTTTTTGCATATTATTTTGCACTTGTATCTGATTGGAAAGAAAGTTCTCGGAATTTCATTAACAATTATTACAACCCAGTTTATTTAAAAGCAAAATCATAGCCCCGCGACATCAGATAAGTAAAGAATCATATTCCATCTGAATCAGAAACACCTACTTATAAACACACGCAGAACATTCTAGCATGCTCTGGAAAAAAAATGTACTGGATATTCAAGAAATTCCCAGAACTTTCTTTCCAATCAGATAGTATTTTCTGTCCAGTTTTTCTTATTTTTCTCCATTTTTTCTAGTTCTCTTGATTCGTATTTTATTGTTTTCTTCTCTAAATAAGCCTTCTATACATTTTTTATTCTTTGCTTTTCAAGATTTTCCTGTTGTTTCCTTCCCCCTCTAATTCTTCCTTGCTTTTAATCTTGGAAACTTGCGGCTGAAAGATCCCAGACTACCAAGCCAGTTCAGTTTGCGTCCTGATGGACATTCATAACTGCAAACTTTTCGATCAAGCTGAGACCTTCCCTATTCCCAGTAGCTAACTCGGAATATGCAGATCTGCACTAAACATGCAGATGTGCAGATCATAGGCTCAATTTATCGTCCAGGTGTACTTGCTCTCACTTTCACCTGAAAAGGGCTGGCTTACTTGCTTAGTTCCTGCACCTGCAGTCTATATTTATACCTCAATTATTAATAAAGGGTGTCTGCCTTTCCTCCTGCCCCAGCTCTCGGTTTTCGGATGTAATATTAGCAGCTCATGACCTTCATCCCACGAAACCTTATTTTCATGAAGCGGGAGGGTGTGAATGGAGGAAGGGTCAGTGATGACTTTCCAAGAACGCGGAATAGGAAAAAATAGGCATTTTGTTTTTCAACGATAAAAAATTCCATATTTCATAAAATTATATTCCTTAAGTGGGTTAATCTAATAGCCGTACTCATTTATGCGAAGTTTTTCATAATGCGTCTTATGGTTAAAAAATTGGGACCGTGCAACGGTATTCCACTAAACAGTATTCAATTATACGGAATCGACTGTATTTCCAATTTTGCTTATATATTTTTTATCTCTCAAAATCGTAATTGTTGAATTCGTTTAATTTAATTAATAATGGTAATTGTTGAATTTACTTCATACACAACTAAGTGGCATGCGTATGGAGCAAGTCCACAAATAAAAGGGATCCTTGAGAAAAAAGGGGGGGAAACTCCAAGAAAAAAAAAAAGGATGAAAGAGAATGCGACGAAAGAGGCCTCTGACTCCTGGGGCCTATTCCACAGAAGATTTACAAGTTACAAGCTACAAGTTGCAAGAAGTAGTTGCAAGGGTCATGCCTTGATCGCGTAAAGTGTCAATGGGACCAGCTAGAAGAGTTGAAAAAGAAGACACGACCCTTGCAACTACTTGTAACTTGTAGCTTGTAACTAGTAAATCTTTTGTGGAATAGGCCCCTGGAGATGACCACAAAGATGTGGTTCGAGATTCTGAGCTCCCTGCAGAAGACTCAGATGCCGGCAGCGATATGAGTCTGATGTTATAGATACGATGAATGAACCCAGAAGAGCAACCAGAAAATCGTCAAGGGGCCAGAGGGAATGAATATGGAAGGCACTCTACGAGCTGATTCTGAGCTCGCCTTTCGTCAAAGTCAAGGGAAAAGGTTTCATTAAGTCGTGATCTCCGTCAATCCCTAATCTAATTCTGAAGTTGCTTCGATTTCTGCGAACTTCTCTGAAGTCTAAAGTCTCAGATGAAGCCGAGATCTGTCTGAGCGAGTCATCTAGCTAGGATTTCTGAGTCCAAGGTACCATTCAGCCGATTCCTCTGGGTGGCTTCAATTACTTGGGCTTTCAACCTCGGCTAACGCAATTTCTGGGAACGGTGATGACTTCTGAGAAAGAATAAAAAGGAGAGAAAGAGAAAAGGTAAAGAGATGAAGGCAAGAAATTGGGTTGAAAGAGCTCGACTCTCTTGCATATTTAATCAATCTCCCCCTCTAAATCACTATTGAAGTCTTGAAAATCAACAGAGTGGTTCTAGCTGCTTCAGCTTTATTAGTGCCTTTTGTTTAATTTTTAACCCTTATATTCTCAGTACCTTCCATAATTAATTCAGCTAACGTGAGACGTAAGTACAGTTGCCTCCACTCGCCCCGAAGCGCAACTGGTGAGCATTAACTCGGCAATGAGCATTTACTCGGTCCCATTTGGTAGGGGAAATTTATTATGAAAACAAGGTTTAAAAAATAAAAAATCACCTTGGGCCTGGTTCAGAACTAAAACTTGACTACCATTGAGATCTCTTTTTCATTGCAAGGAGGGGGTAAGATTCAATTTTTTTTCTGCATTATTTTCGCTAGTATGACTGCTGCCACACTGTAAAGTAAAACTGCTTCCCACCCCCCTCCCCCCCGGGTTACCATTACACCACCTCACTCAATATTGTACTGTGTTCTTTGAAGGAATTTCCAAACCTTAACATATTCCAAGACTGCAAAGAGGGAGCCTTAGAATTTTTCAAAGCTCTGAAATGGAATCACTCAAAGAATACGTAAATTCACATAAATGTAATTGCATGTAAATGAAGAAAATATTTTATTAAAAGGTATTCCACGAGAATTTTCAAGGACATCTATAGACGTCTCCGAGGATTTCATTTTTAAATTCTTTAAAATACGATTGACGGCCCCGAAAAAAAAAACTACAAAGAACCTGAGTACTGGACGCTGCCTGTCAGGATTCACATCGTAGTGCATGGATCTTTGGAAGAGTACATGAATCATAAAGCATTGAAATCAACATTAATTGATTAATTGATACCTATAAATTAATTACGTAACCACAAAATCCCCTTGAAATGAGACTTTGATGAGAGCCATTACCGTGTCGACATCGACAGAGCAATTCCACATAGGTCCCTTCGTTGACAGGGCCCAGAATCCGACCGACCTTGACCTGCACCCCGTGTCTTCGAATCGGCTGGATCTCGGGCGTCCCGGGAGGCACTGGCAAAATTCACGGGAAAAAAAGTTGAACCACGAGGAATGCAAATCGAGCTGAGTACGAGTGAAGAAGTGTAAATGCAATACCGATGACGGTGAGATTTACGAGTCCGTTCCGAGTGGGCGAGAATTTGAAGTCCACGCGACATCGATAGAGACCCGAGTCCACTTCTGTCACGTCTTGAATCGTGAAGGGCCTTTGTTGATCTCCGTGTAAGAATTTCCCCCTTTCCCTACCCCCTTGTCCAAAGTGCGCCTCATCCCACCATTTTTTCGCGTTCATGAAGTCCCGCCCTCGAACGTCGAAACTGCAGAGGAAAAGACATAGAGAGAGAGAGAGAGAGAGAGAGAGAGTGAGTGAGGTGGACTTGTATTGAAATTCCTCTATTCTCATGGGAAGGAATCCCATCAATGCCATCAACGGGGATCCGTTTCTGAATATTACGCCTCTACGCTGCAGGAATCAATAGAATTTTCCCTTGTGGCCATGAAATCGATAAGAGTTGAGTTCTGGGAGGAGGAAAAGGGCGAAAGGCCCAGCTTGTCTTCATTCGATTTGTCCTTCTCTCTCTGCCAAGACTCGGGGATTCTCCGCTTTCTCCGGTTACACGTGGATATTAGATATATCGAGAAAAACCATTAGGACCGAACCTTTCTCGGAGTGAAAGGAGAGGAAAGGATTCTCTTTGCGTCGTCGATTTGTTACCCCCGCGGCATCATTAAGGGAGGAAGGGGGAAAGGCAACGTAAAATGACCTTAGGAGGCTGGGGGAAGGAAGGCGGAAATTCCCTTGCATTCAGTGAATTCCATGAGAAAAGGAGCATCTGGAATCCCCAGCAAAGAAGCATTCATCACTCTCACCGCCATGATTATGTCTGTCAATCCCCCTCCACCTCTTTTCCCTTCCCTCCGCCAACATCTCCCTCCTTAACTCATTCTCTCCGTATCTCTGTACACAAATCCGATTAGGTGGAATATACCTGTAGATGGGGGTGCGGATGCCAATTTTGTACCAGAGAACCAGGACGACATTATCTCCGTGTGCAGGGACCTGGAGATCGCAAGGAAGTCGAGCCAAGCCCTTCTCCAACACTTCCACTCTCTTCGGAGGCCCTGGGGAAAAAATGGTGGAAGGTCATGCACATGACGATTAATTGCATTCAACCCGTATGCAAGTCATGCAGGGAAGAAGGGAATGAAAGACTTTGAGGACCGTGGAGCAAGTCCTCGGGGCCCGGCGGGCCTCGCACGAACACAGGCTCCCTATATTTCTCATCTTCCTTATCTTTTTCTTCCTTTTCCTTCCTCTCATTCATCACAGTACAAGGCGAGACAAGGGGACCTCATTTCATATATATACGCACATAATAGACTAGAGACCTCCATATCATCCACTCACGTCATGTAGATCATTTCTGCGGGCTCATCAGAAAGAGCAACGAATACTGTAGTCGGATGCTCGTGCTCTGAATATCAGTAATCCCTTTCATCCGATTCTCGCATCGACAAATATGGGCAGATACAACAAATCATAGCCCCGCGACATCAGATAAGTAAAGAATCATATTCCATCTGAATCAGAAACCTGAATAATAATAAAAAAAGAAAGAAAGCGACGTCTTTATTTTTTTAGAACTGGACTGAAGAGAAGAGGAGTTAGATCTATAAAAGAAGGCGGAAGAGGATATCGGCTTTAAAAACAGGCAGCGCCAAGCATGCGAGAAAGGAGAGGGTTTTGGTCGTCCAGTAGCTCTCCGCGACTACTCTGCATAAGAAAAAAATGGGAGGGAGAAAGAATGAAGGAAAGGAGGGAGAAAAAAGGGAAATTCTCTCAATTCTCTTCTCTCCTATTCATGCAGTGGAGTTGAGGGCCGAATCGATGAAGGACGAAGCCTGGCTCTTCTCCATCGTCCACTTCCCCTATTATGCATGCGGTTTATGAATGCCGAGCCAATCTTGGCATAAGGGCTTCTCTACTTCTGCAAACGTCAGTCCCTTCTTCTGAGAATACGAAAGGAGGAAAAGGAATGCGAAGATCTCGACTCTAAAGAAGACACAGGCTGCAGTGACGTCATCCTTCCACATCTGGGAGGAATCGATCAAATGAAAATCTGCCATTTCTTCCTGAAAACGCCTCTAGATACGTACTGGACATGCGAATGACGTGGGAGATTATTTTAGGACCGCAGACAACCTCTCTTCCTTCCAGGGGAGAGTAAGGCAAACTTATACATTTTATCAGCACCAACCCCTCCGGAACCTGCGGGGTTTGGCGTAATCCTGTTATAAATGAAGGAAAAAATCCACTTTGATCCAAGAGAAGGCTTAGATGCGTCTTTTCCAGTTTAGTTTAGTATGGAAGTGGCGAGACTGAGACCCATGGGATATCGGATTCATGCATAGCACGAGGATTCCCAACCCATTACGCTCGTATATGCCTTTATTGTCCTCTGGTGATCGTACTTCTTGGAGTAGGCAGTTGAAAGGAAACCTTCCCTGGCATTATCCCGTTGCAAATCACAGGGACATGACACGAAATAGCCCACCGTTCATGGTTCATAACATTATGGCCCCATTCTACCTGGCTATCTCTGAACTGACAGCTCAGAAAAGAGAGAAAAGAAGAAAAAAAATCTGCATAGCTGCACGATCAAAACGGTTACATGGATCTGTACTTTTTACGAGAGTGCATTTTCCTCTCTCTCCCACAATGAAGTATTCATGCATAAAGAGGGGAGGATAGCAATCTATTTGATTAACCACGTCGTGGGAAGACTTGCCATGGGACTGTAGGAATGACCAGGGACAGGGCATGAAATAATAATCCTCTAGGAAGAGTAAGAGAAATTCTACCTTTTCCCCCATTGAATTCCCTCGGAGTGGCTCCAACTACGACGACATAATGCATACTGTAGATGACTTCTAGCAAGACTCTCGCGGAATGATAAGGCGTCACATACAGTACTTCCGCGATGAGACCACACGTCCTTTTAATGCAAATCACTATTTTCTATGGCACCAACGGAACTAACGTTTCCTCTGGTCTTACATATGACGTGACTGATATTCAGTAGATGTCCATAGAGTCGAAACACCACGAGCGCCAGTGCCCTTATGCCCCCATGCGAACTCATCGCGAGAGCGCTATGTGACAAACTCCTGTCAACTTTGTGAAAAAAAAGAAGCGGATGCTGGGAAGGAATCAGGCAAGCTCCTGTGCGTTATTTTACCCGGCTCAAATGGAAAACTAGTAGTTGTTATAACCTCCAAGTCCTCAGACATACTCGCTCTGTCGTCAGCGAGCAAAGCGAGATTAAATCAAGGCCTCAATTTGCAAAATAGCTCGGAACTCCTACACCTTTTCAGAGTGACGTCATATGATCTTATATACGCCTACAGTATGTCAGTTCCACGCTGACAATCTCGCTCTTTCCTCCAAGATTATTTTTAACTTTCTTTAAAATGAAGATTGAGTCAATTCCACAGCACTTATCTTCATGAAAATCACTTGATCATGATTCTTTGCTCTATCAAAAAGCACTCTTAGGGTGGATTTTTGAACAGAGCACTATCCGATAATGCAGCTTTATTTCAGATAAAATGATTTATAAATCCGGTAAATAAAGCTGCATTATCGGACAGTGCTCTGTTCAAAAATCCACTCTTAGACAGGACTCGCTGAAAGTGGAAATGGTGATAGTTTCACACGGAACCAAGGAAAGACGTTGAATTTTGGCTTCATTTTTACTGCCTATTTTAAAAAAAGAGCCTACTTGAACTAGAGGAACAATGCATGACAGCCAGCAATTTGTACTGTACAGCAAGCAGGAAAGGCCCCATAAGCAGGACAATTTCCTCGATGACGAGTAATGAAAGCTTCACTTTTAAGGAATCTTTCAAAGAAATATTCATGCAACATCACGAGGCAAATAGTATTCAAGGTTTTTCAATCACTTCTGTCGACTTGAATTTGCACTACCGCCAGGCACGGTAGGCTTCCTTTTGGCCCAACATTTCCCTCTGGATTATTATTTTTTGCTTTATTCCTGCTTCCTTTCCTTCACCCTCGCTTTATTCCTTCGTTTCGACATCATAAAAAGTACTTTGTTTCGGTCATCACGTTTCGCATGAGACAGACTCACCAACTAGAGGAGAAATCGTTCAGCTGTATTTGAACAATTAATAGGAAAAGTGAGGAAATTGCAGAGTCGGGAGAACGTCAGAAATTGTGAGAGAATATGAGAACCTGTGACAAATTGCCATCCGAAACTGAAACTCATTCCGAGATCTCGTACACGAATTAGAGATGGGTTGAAGCAATCAATGATGGCCAGCATGCAGGATCGGATTAAGGGGGGTGGGGGCAAAGGGGCCTGTTGCCCCGGGCCACCTCTCTTCCAGGGGGGCCCCAGGAAAGAAATTAAAAACGTAAAGTATTTGCGCAAAGTAGTTGGGGGGGGGGGGGGGATAGGAGCTCCAAGAATCTACTTGCCCCGGGCCTCGCAGCTTCTTAATCCGGCCCTGCCAGCATGCAGATGCATGTGTCATGTAATTGGTTCAACTCTGTTATCCGTGAATATCTGTTCGATGACTTGCACGAAACTCGTGCCCTTCACCCCACAAAAACTGGAAGGGAAATATGTTTGGTCGAACGCGAAAGAAGAGATCATCGGATCCAGAAAGCATGAAGGAAGGAGAATCTTTGAAGGTGCCTAGGAGATCACGAATAAGTATGAGAGGATCATTCAGAAAGGCCCTTCTGTATCAAGCTCCTTCTCGCTCACAAAGCCAGAAAGAAATATAGCCCGGAGGTATCCTGCATGATCAAGGATATTTCCGAAAATAAATCACTGGCAAAGAAGGGTAATGCGCAAGGGCTTCCCTAAGCCTCAATCAGGGTCGCAGTACCGGAAAATATTATTGATGGAGCGCAAGATACAGAAGGAAATGAGACAAGGAAAGGAATCAGAGATGATGGATTTTTCCCTCTTTCTCTCTCTCTCTCTCTCTTCCTTTCTCAAGCTGGCTGAGATGAAGATGCCAATGCCAAGATGATAACACAAGGCTGGAGACATGGAGGGTAGAAGGTATTGCCTTGGCCTTGGAAGAGATGTGACGAGGATGTCAATAAGAAAAAAAAAACCTTGTCTCCTTGATTGCTGGACAAATGAAACACGAGGACGGGAGCTGCCTGGTAAGCGGATCGTTTCAGTTATCTTTCCAGCCAACAACACCCATCCATTCATCCATCCATTCATCCATCCATCCATCTATCCATCCATCTATCCACACATCCATCCATCCATGCCATCTCCTCCATGCCGAACTATCGAGGTAATGCAGGAACCTCATTCAGGCTGAATCTTTTGAATGGATAAATGGAATGCAGAATGCAAAGGAGTATCTGTAATAAGATGGCTAGAGATGTGCTAGACATGGCGGGCTAGAGCATGACACACCCCTCCAGCCTATTGCCTTGTAGTTGTACGAAGACATGGTGCGTGCAGTGTACACGGCATGGATCTCAAACAAATCACGTAGTGAAAGAAGATCTTCCCGTGCTCATTCTTCCGAGGTGGAGGAAGGGATCACATCCCATCAAGAATGAAAGACACTCCCAGAACAGGCGAGCATCCACTTAGCACCTTAGCACGTATGCCAATATTAACTCCTTAGCACGTATGCCAGTATTAACTCCTTCGCGGTTGAGCCTTTCTTTCTCACCTCAAAATTTACGGTGTCTTTATCACTGATCATTTTCTAAGGAATCTCTGCTCATTTTCGGTCCGAGAATTAGGGCTGAGCTGAATTTCATCGCATAACTTCCCTTTGCTTTAGAGATTTTTGAAATTTTTGCAAAACAACAATCGCTTTTTAAATATTGGTTATGCCAACGATTTGGCTTAATCAACAAACACTAAAAACTTACTTTCCGCACTTCCAGATTATAGAACTAAACCTACCAGTACCGCTATACAAATATCATCACTAAACTCATAATTTGAGGGAGTTCTTGGAACTACTCTATTCATCTATTCGTCCAAAAAAAAAAAACGAACGGACTACTTCGTCTGCTTCAACTAAGCGCCGTAAGAAAAAGTCTTTTGATCATCTTCTGCGGAGGAGGAAGAAAAAATTCCTTTCGAAAGAAAAAAAAAATTGTATATTGTATATGTACACAGTCTCACATGTCGAGAAAGGGGAAGGAAAAGGAGAGAGCTAGAGAATCCAGCCATGCATAAAACGAGCTCCCCCATTTCGGGAAAGAGAGGAAGCCCATGAAGAAAAGGGGGGTAAGACGAAGAGCAAGACAGAC